ACAACTCCATGTACAATCCTAAAAAATATTCTCTGCTGACCACTCAACTGTGTTTTCAATTATTTTTTTCCCATTTACCCATATACAGTGAAACAAACTGTTCAGCCACAGTAGAAAGTGTCCTGTAAATGCGCGAAGTGCAATGTTTGTGTTCCTTTAAATTCAATAATTGCTTTAATGGATACAAATTGTTCACCTTTCTCAATGGCTGTGGGAGTGATACAACGAAATGTCTCAATTGGTAGTACCGCCATTCATCCATAGTCTGAAACATTTTTCCTTTTTTCTGTTTTTCAACTCCTGTACAGTGTTTAACTCCCCTTTCTTCATAACATCCTTTAACCATGCATTCTTGTCTATAATCCATGTTCCTACAATAGTGCTCATCCCACCAGTGGTATTAGTGGTGAAATATACTCCCATCCATTTTGATTGTGCTTTACATCCCATATCCAAATACATTCTTAGTTAAAGTGCTAGTATTTTCAGAAAACATTCGATACTGTTGTGGAATCCAAATAATTTTATCTAATTGTGCTTCACTCTGTTAATTCAATCCCTACCCAACTTTTCCCTTGTGGATTATACACCCATTCCATTATATATTTCTATCTCCCTCCAGATTTTTATTCTTTAGTAACTGCATATAAGGAACTATAATCTTGTTTGAAATACGCTAGCAATTACTTTAGTTGGGTAAACTAATCCTTTTTCATTCCTGATTTTCTCTATGAAATGTATTTATTTTTCTTTTCCCTGACTTTCCTTGCCAGAAATTTGCCCGGTCTATTCCCCCACTGATATCTTTCTCTCAATACCATATTAAAGACCTTATTTGTTTCTTGTTCTAATAGATTACTTAGTTCTTCTCTTTTTATAATAATCATATGTTGTACTTCTGTTTCTGTTCTTTTTTTATGTAACTGTATGTAGTTCCTCTATAAATATTTTTTATCCTTTCTGCCCTCTTTTTCTTTTCTTTTTTTTTTTTTTCCACACCTATAGCAATCTGGATACCCATTATATACGCCTTATGTGCTTCCCATACTGTTGCCACTGTGACTCCCTCCGTTTCATTTGCTAAAATATATTGCTCGATTTCTTCCCGTACTCTCACCTCCGTCTCTTGATCTTGGATGAGTGTCTCATTTAGTTTCCAAGCATATGTTTTATTCTGCACCCCACTCACTTTCAATCTCATCGTAACAGGAGCATGGTCTGATAATGATGTAACTTAAATATTAGATTTAATTAGGGACTCCAATAATCTATGTTCTATCACTATATAATCCAACCTAGCGTATGTCACATGTACAGGAGAATAAAATGTATAGTCTTACTCCTACATGTTTGATGCATCTACTAGTTGACATTGATATAATTTTTAATAGATCTTAGACCTTTTACCTCTATCCCTCTGTGCACTCGATGATGTATCGAGCTGGGAGTCTATGCACAAATTTAAATCCCTGCTACAATCAATTTCCCTTTCTTAAAGTCAATTTACTCCCTTAACTTATCTTCTAAGTAAACCACTTGCTACTTGTAGTTCTTCCGTCCCTCTGTCTCCACTCTCTCCATTTCCTGGATGTACTTCTGGCTGTAAGAGTTTCTCGCTGCTACTGCTTCTTTCAGAAAGACTGGCTTTATCTTTCCTGATGGTTCCCACAATGGTAACCCAGCTTCTCATTTCACCACTTCATAGATTCTCAGACAGACCATTGTGGAAACTTATGCTCTCAAGGATAGAATCCCACCCTGCATGGTACTCCTAATAGGTCTGTAAATACCTCTGGGGTTCTTTGGCATCAGGCTATTGTTTCTAAGATTTGCAAGGCTGGCACCTGTTCTTATGTTAACACCCGGTCACATCAAAGCCGATTTTAAAGTCGTGCGACTTGATTTCAAAGTCGAGTGACTTGCCGATTTGAGCTGCGACTTGCAAGACATCTGACACAGATAGATATCGGTGCGGCTCTGACCAAGTCGGTACTGCACCGATATGACTGCTTTAATAGCGGACAGTAGGGTGCGACTTGGCATACAATTTGAAACTCACATGGCATGCAAATGGCATGCCAAGTCGCACCCGATGTGACCAGGGTGTTGCACATTCCCCACGTTTTAACAGGTGAATGTTCTGGCCTCGTCTGATACCAGTTTTGTATGTAAAGTCCCTCAGGTGTGTCGTGTGTGTTTTGTTTAACTGGTTGCCGACCAGCCACAGTACTTGTACTGTGGCAGGGCGGCACTACTGCACAAAATCACGTGTGTGTGTGTGTGTATATACAGTATATGATTTTGCATTTGCAGGTAGGAGCGCACACCCGCTCTACCCGCGCCGCCGATTTGCAGGTGTCAAACACCGGGTCTCATCTGGTGATTACCCGCCGGAGCTCGTTGATTACCGGCAAACACCAACAGGGAGGAGGGCTGCATAGTTTACACACTGCTCGGGATGACTTAGCACAACCGTCAGATCAGCGTGCTTACAGTGAAGCATCCCCGCTCTCTAGTAAACCACTCCCATCACACAGTTAACCTTTTTTTTTTTTTTTTTTTTTTTTTTGCGCAAAAAATAAACGCAAAGGCAATCAAATACCAAAGAAACCTCAATTCATGGATAAAAATGGACGCAAATTGAATTTGGGTACAGCGTTGTATGACCACGCAATTGTCAGTTACAGTAATGCAGAACCGTAACAAACCACTTCTGTAACCGCTTCCTGACTGCCTTATAGCAGAAATACCGCTACAGGGTGGTACGGGTACAAAAAATCACGTGTGTGTATATATACGCGATTCGCGCTTCCGTGGTTTTCACACCCCTCCAAGATAGCGTCAGCTTGCCTGTCAGTACACCAGTAATCACATTTAACCCCTTGATTGCCAGGAACATGCTCATACACAATAAACCTCCATTGCTGGTATAGTGTCTGAACGGATCAATATCTTTGATCAGATCAGCGTTCACATTAGTATAGTGTCCCCAAAAATCCCCCAGCAAGTGCAGTATCAGTAGGTCACTGTCACTTGATACAATGCACACAAAACCGCAGTGTTCACAGAATTGGCACCCGTACTTCCCCCTTTCACTGCCCAACCCAAAATTCAGGTGGAAACAGCACTTGATTTTTTTTCTTTTTGAGCTGTTTTTCATGGAAGATCTGTATGCATTGATTGTGGATCAAGGCAATTTATATGCACAACAATTTATGGCTGCCAACCCAAATTCAAACCTTGCCAGACCATTCGCATGGAAACCCATTACGGTTTCCAAATTAAAATTTGGACATGGGCATCAGTAAAAAAAAAAATTAATTGTGGTTGTATTGGTCCATAGATCCGGTTCATCATATGCCTGTGTTCTCTGCTGCCATGGCCAGGCGTAGATATGAGAGTATAATGTGTTTTATGCATTTCAACGAAGATACACTCTATTGTCCCTGAGGTGACTCTGAATTTGACCGGCTCCACAAAATTTGGCCCCTCACAAATAACCTTAACCAAAAATTTGCAGATGTCTATACTCCCAAGCAAAAAATCTATGTTGATGAGTCCCATCTATGTTCTCATTTTTTCTCACAAGGTTTTGAAATATAAAAAAAAAGAAATTTGCAAAATACTCACCATGCCTCCATTTTTAAATTCCTTGGGGTGTCTACTTTCCAAAAAGGGGTCATTAGGGAGGGGGGGTTTGGTGCTATCCTGGCATTTCAGGGCATCCGAAACTGCGATAGGTAGTGAGGAAGTGAAATGAGGAAGTTACGAACCTTCAGGCTTTCAAAATGGTCATTGGATTTCAGGCTCCTGTATGTGGGGAGGCTCCCAAAATTCTCACATGTGGTATCCCCATACTTGGTAGAAGTAGAAGAATGTATTTTGGGGTGTAATTTCCCATATGCCCATGGCTTGTGTGAGCAATATATCATTTAAGTGACAACTGTTAAAAAAAATATATATATATTTTTTTTTTTTTTTCATTTTCCTAAAACTTGTGTTAAAAAAAAAAAATCTTCCATAGACTCAATATGCCTCTCATCAGATAGCTGAGGGATAGCTTAGGGTGTCTACATTCCGTAAATGGGTCATTTGGGGGTGTTTGTACTGTCCTGGTATTTTAGCACCTCAAGAAATGTGATGGGCAGTCAGAAAGTAAAGGCTGTGTAAATTCCATTATCTATACCATAGTTTGTAGATGCTATAACGTTCACACAAAGCAATCAATATACACTTATTGGGATTTTTTTTTAACCAAAAACATGTAGCAGAATACATTTTGGCCTAAATTGATGATGAAATTTTAGTTTTTTGGATATTTTTTATGACTGGAATGAGAATCTTTTTAAAAAAAAAAAAAAAAAATTCAAAACTTTTTTTTTAGTCTTTCTTCCTTTATATTTTCCCTTGGTGATCCTGCCAGTAAGTCTGTTTTTCAACAGAACAATCTGTCCTGCAGATATAGCCATTGTTGAGCCAAACTATTTAACACTACTAGCACAATTTATGTAAAACCTTTATCCCAAAAGGAATAAAACTGTTTCTATAACTGCATCTAACACTACCCTCCCACCAGACTGACCATGCTGCTGTCCAATGGTGTATCTGTTGCTTCTTCATCCAGAGTGTAGGCACCCTAAGACAGGAGGTGATACTGGCCAGGTCACCAGGTGAAAACAGTGGGTAACAAAGTAATGACTGGTAAACTGAAATATATACAATTTTGGTTTGGGGTTTAATATTGCTTTAAAAAGCTTTCCTTGGAGCCAATTGGGGGAACAAATGTCTCATCCTTCTGTGTTTTATAGTCATGTTTTTGGGACAGCTTTGCCACAAAACTTAGGCATGCTGGTGTAGTAGTGGAGTTTAGGTCTTCTTTTGTCCCTCAATGGAATGCAAGAAAGGATTTTTGTACTAACCGTAAAATCCTGTTTTTCTCATAACCCACTATTTTTAACATTTGTGTTTTTTTTTTTTTTTTTTTTTTTTTACTTTTTCAGGCTGGTGATGGCAAAAGTTTTCTGTGTAAATGTTCATTTATCGAAATCTACAATGAACAGATATTTGACTTGTTGGACTCTGCATCTTCAGGACTTTTACTTAGGGAACATATAAAGAAAGGAGTCTTTGTTGTTGGTGCTATTGAACAAGTAGTGACCTCTGCTGCTGAGGCATATCAGGTATGTTTTTAAATGTATTACATTTGCAACATTAGGAGGGGAATTCCATGTGTTGGATTATATTTGGCACCATTCACATCTATGCCTTTGTGCTGCAGCGTGCTTATGTGTGTTGTGAAATATACATTCACCAGACATTTTATTAGGTACACCTTGCTACCCGGTGTGGGATTCTGCTGCTGTAGCCCATATGCTTCAGGTTACTACGTGTTGGTCATTCAGAGATGATATTATGCAATCCTTGGTTGTAACAAGTGGTTATTTGAGTTACTGTTGTCTTTCTATCATCTCAAACCAGTCTGCCCATTCTCTGACATCAAGGCATTTTCATCCACACAACTGCTGCTCATGGGATATTTTCTCTTTTTGGACCATTCTCTGTAAACCCTAGAGATGGTTGTGCATGAAAATCCCAGTAGATTGGCAGTTGAAATACTCAGACCAGCTTGTCTGGCACCAACAACCATGCCACGTTCAAAATCACCTAAATCCCCTCTCTTCCCCATTCCGATGCTTGGTTTGAACTTCAGCAAGTTGTCTTCACCACATCTAGATGCCTAAATGCACCGAGTTGCTGCCATGTGATTGGCTGACTAGCAATTTGTGTTACCAAGCAGTTGAACAGGTGTGCCCAGTAAAGTGGCCGGAAAGTGTAAATTCACTTTGAAAAACTCCCTAACCTGCAGTGCATGGAGGTGAACCAGCCATACAGGAAAGAAATAGGATTTCTACTTGAGATTTATTTTCATGCAGTAAAATTTGTGTTTTACTGCAAGGCAAGTGTAAATTGGTCCTTTTAACCATTTTGTTGCCAGAGCTGTTTATGGCACAGTTTAGGCCTAAAGATGAGTTAAAATCCCCAAACATATGTTTTTTGAAAGCTGAAACCCTTGAAAAAAAAAAAAAGCAACTGCCACAATTTTATTCTCTTTTTAATGTCCCACAAAATTAGCGCAACAGATTATCAAATGAATACTTTCAGAAAAAATGAACTGGTTAGTTTTAGTGCACGCAAGAGCAATTTATTACCCAGTTGTTTTACATCCTTCAGTCTAGCCAAGTACAGGACCCCAAAATCCAATAAGCACCTTCAGGCTTTCAAAGGGCTTCATTTCCTCATTACACTTCCTGACTACCTATCATAGTTTCAGAGGCCTTGCAAATGCCAGGACACTTGCCAAAAATGTCAGCAATCCCTGCCCAGGCATAATCCCTTCCAGCTCAGCTATACCTCAGTTTTTGCTAGTGTCCATAGGTTATGGATTTGCCTACTTACATCTTTGAAGACTTCCTCTTGTAAGCTTTAGTTTTCCTGGTTCCTAACACACCTGATGGGATAGAGGATGGGTTCATCCCAATTGGTCGCTGCAGCCATTAGGCCAAGAAGGATGGTACCCAGACCTTTCGTGCAAGAGCAGTGGTGGCTTTTAATGCCACCAGTTGGCACTAGATCCTTTGAGTAGCGGTCTCCTGGGTAGTATACCAGGTGAACTCGCTGGTAGTTTACTCTACAGGTCTGTGGGAGCGGAGTCCCTGAAGGGTGCGGCCATGATGGCTAAAGATTGGGCCTGTTAGCCTAGCTTAATGGACAGGTGAGCACCCCTGAGCTAGGGGGTGCAGGTAGCAGCCTTTCCCCCTGGTGGTGTTGCGCCTTTTGGGCTGTTTTCTTGGGCGGAGAACTACACCACAGTAGCATTGAAAGTATTTGGGGAGACTTGTTGGGAGCGTTTGACTACCACTTTCAGTATTTAGGCTTGTGGCTGATCCCTGTGGGGTGTAAAATGCCATAAAGATTCCATACGGCAGCTTTCATGGCTAGGCACCATGCCTGGCTAGGGCCCATTCCACCAGGAGTGTTGGTGCTTCTGGGGCAATTCAGCATCATCCCTAAGTAATCCCAAGTAGTCATAAATACAAAGTTCTCTGTGTCCTGTGATCTACAATTTAGGATTTTTAGTTTCTGTTAAAATCCTTTTTTTGCAGGGGGGGTGGTCCTCATTGCTTACCTGAGCTAAGAGGGTTATGCCTTGGCAGTGTCCATTTACCTGAAGATGGAAGCATAACCCAAGTAGTCATGAATATTAAGTTTTTTGTGTACTCCAAGAAAATGATTTTACAGGGGGGAAAAAAATCACAATTTTTTTTTTTTTTTTTTTTTTTGCACATATGCTATATTGAAGTGCAAGCTACTTTCCTCTTGCTAATGTTAGGCCCCCTACACTTGCTCATGTATTGTCTGGTTCCTTGGATATAGTGGTGGAAAACCAGGGTTACTTAGTATCCAGGCAACATTTCTTGTTCCCTGTCTGATAATTCAGAATTGTGCCTTTTAAATTTCTTGGGAATCCTGAGTCGCATGAGTAGGAGCTCCAATGAGCAATTATTACTAAATTTACCAGGAAATTTGGCCTTTGCACATGGGGACTAATTCTTGCGTTGACAGACATTTTATTGCATTGTAAAACATCTGTCACTGCAAGAACACACATGAAACAATTGTCTTGGTGTGCCATTCAGCATGCTGCTACAAAATGCAGGTATGTTGCATTTTAATGTAGCGTATCATACAGAATCACATGGTACTGTATGGTAGCGCAGCACATTGCACTGCTGTACAGCACCATCAATGAAGTATACATTTTGTACACCTCATAGTTTGCACAAAACAAAAGGGAGCCACACTACCCCCTAATGCATCCAGGAATGGACAGCTGCTGGAGCTGGTCAGCATGCTAATCTCTGATCCTAATTCATGACCGTGAACTTATTTTTAATATATGTATCGTATGCTTGGTAATGTGCTTTGGTTTTGTAATGCCATATTTTTTTGATATCTTGCCAGGTTCTTTCTACTGGATGGCGGAATAGGCGAGTAGCTTCAACCTCGATGAACAGAGAATCCTCCAGGTCTCATGCTGTCTTCACTGTCACAATTGAATCTATGGAAAAAGTTAATGAAATTGTAAACATAAGATCTTCACAACTTAACCTCGTGGATCTTGCTGGATCAGAAAGACAGAAAGACACTCATACTGAAGGAGTCAGGCTTAAGGTGAGCTAAACATTGATATCTTTAATTCCTATTAACAGTCATTTTTGTATATGGAGCTATTGGTTTATAGTACTACTAATGTTTAAGATGTCTGCGTTGCATTATCGGATGCCATGGAAGATGTGTTCATGCTCTGACCTGAAACTGAAGTAAAGGAATGGGGTGCAGACTGTACCTTGGTTCAGATGTTCCCTGGGTGCACACAAATGGGGTAATTCATAAAGGGTGACTGTGGCATTCTGTAGTATTCCATCTTGCCTGGGCACATGAAATGTTTGTGGGGAAAACAGATTGATGTGCTTGTTGGAAACAGGTACGTGAATTTGGGGCCAGCACCACGTACAGAGGTCCACTGAGGCAGGAATGACCATACTCGCACTCTGTCCTCAGTGCAGTGGTGCTTTCTTCTCATGGCTTCTGCGTGGTCTATTTTACAAATGCAGCAAAGGATTTCTTGAAGGTGGGTGGACAGATCTTGATGTGGATTATAGTTTCTCATTAGGCCTGCTACCCTTGTGATTGACAGCAGGCAGTAAGCCTATAGCCAATAGACATCTTGCTTTTGGTTACAGAATCCACCCACTGCCTGTTGTCTAGCACAAGGAGAGAGCAGCCCTAATGGGGAACTAGTGTCTCATCTTACCCATCAAGCTCTGTGCACTGTCAGCGTTAGAAGTAACTAGAAGCCTGTTGGCTGTGAAATCGAAAGCATCCTTACAAGTAAGAGGTGGGGGGGGTTGTTGGTAGCGGTGACAAACATGTACAGAGACAGGCATACTGCCTGTCCCTCTACAGCAATTTGCAGGAACAGACATTACCTCCAGTGTATTTCTCTATGAAAGTGACACTACTAAGAACTACCTTAATCTGCTGCACGTATCAGTAAATCAGCAGGTATTTTTCAATCTGGCAAAAAGTACCGTACAGCCAGAAAAGTGTTGTTGAGGCTTTACTGAATCCTCTCCCCCCAAAATGTTTTGCTGACTATGGAAAATATTGTCAGGAAAAGTTTTAGTGCTTCCTGGCTAGTTTTGTTTTTGTTTTTTGTCAGGTTCACGTAAAAGAGATAGCGGATATTGGTGGAAGGTTCTGAAGTTCCTTTTTACCTTTCTTGTAGAAGTCTAAGTTTCGATATATAACAATTCAAACGATCAGTCTTTGTGTAGGACAGTAACAGTGCCTCAGTGTGGAACATTTAAAGGCTAAGTTCAGCTTTAAGGAAAAATAATAAATGCACATATTTTTGCAGGATAAAAAAAAATCCTACAGGAGCCTGCAAAGCATTGTACCCATGATCCGTGTGATGTCAGGCTGAAAAATTTTGTGGAAAAGGGATTTATCTCCACTGTGGATCCAGCAGTGTTCTGCTTTAACAAGGTGCTTTACTGTTCCAGTGGAAGACATGCTTGTGTTTAGGGTACCAAACAAAAAGTAGTTGGAAGCCCTCTTGAACTCTGCACTTGCTAGCTGCTCTGTCCTTCATCCCATGCTGATAGTCATGGTTTTACAAATGTAAAGGTACACCTGTGAAGGTTCATTTGTGTCTTCCTCCAACATACATAGATTGCTCAAAACAGTCATCTAAACATGGTCTCAAGAATGGGGTTCCACCCTTTCTTGTCAGGACACACTCTATCAGATATGCAAGAGCTTCTTGTGCTTTCAGCATCCAGCAACTGTGCTTTCAGCATCTGCTTTCAGCATCTGCAAGGCTTCCACCTGGTCTTCAGTTGTACCAGGATGGGTGGATATTTGATGCCAACTTTGGGCATAAGGGATCTTCAGGTGGTTCTTTGAGTGGTGCATGTCCGTGATGGTGGTGGTGTTTGAATATCTTCCTGATGTGCTAAGCAGGGATGCCCCGAAATATCAGCAGCTGAAATGTATTGGCCGAAAATAGTGTTATTGGCATTTTACAGATTGAAAAAAAGGTGCCAATTAATGGGCGACGAAAATGCATGATTTTTGCTGCGATTTTACCATGTTTTGGGTGTGTGTTTTTCATAGGTCATGTGACTGGGAAAAAGTGTGCGTTTTTGATGGGTTTTCAATGCATTACAGGCCTGATTCAAACACAGTTTGCGTTTTGTCCATATTTGGAGTGCTTTTTGAGTTTGCACATTTTTGATGCATTTTTTTGATGTGTTTTGCGGTTTTTGAACTTTTTTTTTTTTTGGCCAACTTTTTGCTGGGCAGATTAAAAATGCAAAACATATATAAAATGCAAAGCGTGTGTTTTTTGCTGCATTTGCATTGCATTTCAGGCCTGGTGCACACTAATGCAGTTGTGTTATTGTCCGTGCTTTTTTTCAGTCCGTGTCGTGTTTTATACACAAGTTTTTTGACGCAGTTTTGAATGTTTGGGGGGGGGGGGGGTTGTTGGCCAACTAGTTGTTGGGCAGATTCAAAACACGACAAGCTTGTCAATACGCATCAAAAATACTGCATGCATTTTCTGTAGCATCTCCATTTGAAGGCTATTGAACCAAAAACCCAGCGTTTTGCGCTTAAAGTCCCTGACCCATTCCAAAAACGCAGCAGCTCAAAAAATGCATAGATGGGAACAAGTCCAAAAATAAACCATGTTAAATAGGGCTTTTTGTAATAACGCACTACAGTCCAACAACCGCAGTGGTGTGCACCAGGACTCAATGGGGAGGTGCATTTTTGGTGCGTGGTTTGTTTTTTGTTTTTTTTTTTTTTTTTGTTTGTTTTTTTTTTTTTTTTTAAACTTGCCAAATATGCACCAAAAATGTAGTAAGCAGGATTTTTAGCGCTGCAAGGGAAGCACAATGGGACCAGTGTGAAGACGACGTATATTTAATTTAAAGGGATGCATATTTCTTGAGCTTTTTTTGTGCTTTTTTTTTTTTTTTTTTTTTTTTTTTTTTTTATACGCAAAAGCACTGCAAAAACTGATCAGTGTGAAAGCAGCCTATTGGCCGAAAGGTGCTGAAAATAAATTCATATTAATTTTACATTAGTGAACTCCATTTAAAAAGTCGAGTATAATACAATTTTTATATATTTTAAAACATTTTTTTAATAAACTCCATTTAATTTTTTTGGCCAAATGCATCCTGAATTTACGGTTTCGGTCCAAGATTTTTCATTTTGGTGCACCACTAGTATCCAACCTTTTAACCCTCCTGGGCCACATTGGAAGAAAAAAGGAATTGTCTTGGGCTACACATAAAATACACTAACAATAAAGCTGGGTACACACAATCTGAATATTGGCCAATTCAGCAGAAATCGGCCAACATTCAGTCAGTGTGTACAGTTACCTGTATGGTCACACAAACTTCTTCTGTCAAACAGACATGCTGGAAAACCAGCAACCAAACAGCAGTCGATCAGCCAATGGCCAGTCACCCTGTCAGAACACAGTCCCCCTCTCAGAACACAGTAGCACAGCGGGGAAGAGCCCACACTAACATCTTTGTGTTGGTACAGCGATCTGTCAGTTTTTTTTCATTACTACGCTGGGTTGAATGGGAACACAAAAAAAAAAAACTGTGTACCCAGTGGTTCTAAAGGCTGAAGTTTTTTACCTTCATGCATAATTTTATAGAAAACTAAGCAAGTCTAAACTTGGGCAGCTGCCCAAAACTGATAGTTGCTTTATATCCAACAAAGTTGCCTCACCAAATGAATTCCTATTTACCGAAGGTGCTCCATTGAGATGTTTCAAAGCTAGTAAAGGTGTCACTCATTTGTTTGATCCTCTGGAATTTAGCGGAAAAAATTAGACATGAATCTAATGGCAAGATTGTGACACCATCATAATGACGTAGACCAGTCGTCTCCAAACTTCAGCCTTGGGGCTGGGTGCAGCCCTTTGCTTGCCTTTTATATGGCCTTTGAGGCACTATTCATGCCACTGATGGCAACAATGGGGCACTTTTCCTGCCACTGACAATGATGAAACCTAATTCCTTCCACTGACGCCAACTATTTCTCAAACAGACAATTTTCTAACCAAGTATGTGGTTTTCATTTAGTAAAGTCTATTCATACATCTTTTGATTGACATTCAAATGTTCTGACAACTTTCATACACCTTTTCATACTAATTTTTGTTCTAAATTCTATCCTTCTATGGCTAGCTTTAGTTGGGTAGCGTGAACATTTTAATTACCGTGAACTACAATAGAAATATAGTTACTGTATGAATGGCTGTGTCTGATTTATTACATTTCTGATATCAATAGAGAAAATGTGGACAATGATGAGTTTCCTTTTATGATATTCTATGCATGTGTGTAGGTGAATGATAATTAATGCTTGACCAGCTTGATACAAATACTGTTCCGACACTTTATTACAAATTCTGAATGAATCCTCTGCACACTGCTATTCAGCCTTTCTAGGAAACTTTGCATAAAATCAGGGATTTTTAGTTCCCATACATTGCTATGCATGTTTAAGCTGGCCAACTGTGTCAAAGTAATCCCTTTCTGTTTAGTTCCTACTCTACTGAACTTAACCATGCTGCAAGGCTTGAGTGCTAACCACTATGCCACTGTGCTGCCCTTATGTAACTCCGTTAAGTTCATTTAAGTTAATTATCGATCTTAAAAGAAAATGAAACGGATGGCTTGGTCCGCGGTGATGTTGATAATCTCTACACCATGCCGCAGCTATATCTATGGGGAGAGAAAACAACTTGTATTAACCACTTTCCCTCCAGAGGATTTACCCCCTTAAAGTGGAGTTCCACTCACCGGTCAAAAAATAAGTCAGCTGCTACAAAAACTGTAGCTGCTGACTCTTAAAAAAACATCCACTTACCTGTCCCGTGGTGTGTCCCACGCAGCCCGTTTCATCGGCCGTCCTGTATTCCAGGAGGCCGGCATCTTCAGTATGGCCACCCAGCTGTGATTGCCGTGGCTTCTCAGCCGTACCTACTGCCCATGCGCAAGTAGCGCTTTACTTCATGAATGGTCCTGTAGTCTTCTGGGACCTGTCACGTGTCCCAAAAGACTGCAGAGAGGGAGGACACCTTCCGCTTCCAATCGCATAGGCGATTTAACCGGAAGTGGGAGTGGGTACCTGTCAAATTCGGGTACCTGCTCCCCCCCGCCCCCCAAAGGTGCCAATCCTTAATGTGGAGCGGGGGAGCAATTGTCAGTTAAAGTAACGAATCGCTGTAACGCAAAAAATGGCCTGGTCAGGAAGGGGGGTAAATCCTCAGGAGAGTAAGTGATTAAAGGGATGCATTTTTCGAAGGCTTTTTTTTTTTAAATGCAAAAGCGCTGCAAAAACTGCTCAGTGTAGAAGCAGCCCTATTGGCCAAAAGATGCTGAAAATAAATTCATATTAATTTAAATTCAGGATATTAAAAAGTCAAATATAATACAATTTTATATATGTTAAAAAGTTTTTTTGGGTTTTTTTTTAAACTCTATTTCGGTTTTCGGCTAACGTTTCGGTCCAAGAATTTTCATTTTGGTGCACCAATAGTGCTAAGGGTTTAAGTATGTTCTATCTGGGTACATTGCAAATATTGGAGTTTGTTGAGGTGATGACCCAGTCTGTCCTAGCATGCTCCAGTCTCTAGCTTTGGGAATGGTGCATGGTTCTGGGGATGTCTCTCCCTCACTGGCAGGTCTTGGGCTGACGGTTACACCCGAATAGCCACATGCATCTTGGATTGGAATATAGAGTCTGATATGTACTGGTCCCGATGAAGCAGCTTGGACCGCGAAACGCATAGAGCTCACCCTGTTTCTCCCCCCTCTTTGTATAGAATTTTATTTATAGTACTGAGAATGAAAATAGGATATCTGTAATTGCCGCAAGATCCTTTTCTTAGAATCAAGGGACACATGTCTCGCCCCTCTTTTTTTAATCATGCTCTTGGTACTGCTTTGCTGCAAAACTGAGGCATGGTGATGGAGTGGCTATCTTTTTTTTTTTTTTTTTTTTTTTTTTTTTTGTTTTTTTTTGATTTTTTTTCAATTTGTTTTGTGCCAGTCCAGACCTTCTGTAGGTGACAAGAGGCTTCCTGTGTCCTTGATGGACTCCAGGAAAAGAGGTTTATGGTTAGTACAAAATCCAGTTACACGGTGGCTGCAGGACCCATAAAGTATAAGTGTATATGCAACCACGAGGCACGTTTTTATTTGAGAGCTGCAAAGGCAAATATAATGGAACACAGTAATAAATTGATATTTCAGACATGAAGATGATATTTACTCAGTTACATACACATTGCATGTTCGGAATACATTTTTTTCTTTATTTTTTTACTAGACAATGCTAAGGTACTTGTATAGTGTGTGTATGCGTGTGTGTGTTCCCGCTTTTCATCTTGCTGCTCAGTTCTAATGGAATTAAAAAGAATGTGTGAAGAAAAGTGCAAGGTCAGCTATTAGATTTTAGGTTACTTGACAACCTCTACCAAAACATGCAGGGGCTTCTATCAACCTGTACCTAGTACACAGGCAGAGGCTATGAGACATGCTAATTATTGGTGCTGCTGGGAGTTCTCCAGGCATTGAACAGGCCTTCTTCTTGTTCTCCCTGGCACTAGGAAGACCTTCTGTGGCTTATCGCCTCCAGTTGCAGACTCTCAGCAAGTTAGAAACGCCCCCAAAAAGTGTCACTGTACACAGGGTGTGTGTAACATCTCCAATCCTTCTGCCCCCCTGCCAGGACCTCCCCCGTCCCAGTACAGTTCAGCTCTGATTAATCAAAGTGGCATTGGCCACTACACAGAGAAAGTTCTGACAGCTGGAGCTGTCAAAAAATTTTTGTCTGGCAATGTTTAGCAACATTGCTCAACCATGAATACTGAGACATACAAAGAAACAATTTTTCATTTTTGTATCTTTCTGTTTATTCAGCTACAGAGCAAAGAGGTGACCTTCTATCTGCAGATGAAGTCAGTTAAAGCAAATTGACAAGTTTAAAATAAATAAATATTTTTTAAATTAAATCTTCCTCTGTTTAACCCCTTATTAACACTCGGTTTAATCAGCCCTAGTTAACTCCTTATTCTACATCTCCATTCAATTATTTTCCTGCTAATTTTTTTGTTTTGTTTCTATTTTATCAACATTTTAAACTTGTCTTCTTTTGTTCGTTAATATTTTTACATCTTTCTAACATAAATTTACAAAATTTCACATTTGAAAAAAGTGCAGACTTTAATAAACCCCACTTTACTTAATTTGTAAATAACTTTGCAATCCTTTTGTACCAGAATCATAATTTTAGTGTCATTTTAAACCGGACAAATTACTGAATACTGTAAAATATGCATTTTTTTATGTGCAGTAGCACAATTTTTTTTTTTTTAAAGAACACTGCTCCAAAAAATAAGTGCGTTTTGTTCTGTTTAATGATTGGGGGAAAAAAAATCATTGTTGCAAGACAATATTCATGAAAAGAGAGCCTTGTTTGTCCTGAAAAATAATAACGCATGTATTACATTTTTATCTTCTTAACCTCTTCACGCCGGCTGAACGCAAATGTGTGGCCTTCCGGTGTCTAGCCCTAGACGCCGAGCGGCCCGCACATTTGTGTTCTATTAAAAAGAAACATATGTGCTAAGAGCGCGCGCCCCTGCACTCTCCCAGTACACACGTCCAGTACTCACAGAAAGGTCCCGATGATCTTTCGATCGGGACCTTTCCGATCATGTGACCGCAATGACTGCGTGTCACGGTGGTCACATGACCCTAAACCTCGCCCCACCTCCCGGCTTCTGAAACCCTTAAAGGGCCGGGAGGCACCGGCGCTAAGGGGTTAAGTAATCACAAAGTTATCACCAAATAAACAGGCCCATAGCACAAATGTAAAAATTGCTCTGGTCCATAGGGGGTGAACAAGTGTGAGAGGCGAAGTGGTTGAAGGATGTATTTATAAAGCTGCGATTCACCTGCAGTGACTGTTTGGTGAAAGTCACATTCTGTGCTTTATTAATAAGTCTACAGAGGTACAAGTTGCATGCGTGTGTACTATTTTTACTTGTAATTGCAAAGTGGTTTGCATAAAAAAATTGCATGTAATAAAATTTCAAGTGAAATTTTGATAATTGTATTGCTAGTTTCACAGGAAGTCCTGTTCATTTTAATTGTTTGTTTTTTTTTGTAGGAGGCTGGCAGCATAAATCGATCGCTGAGTTGCCTGGGTCAGGTGATCACAGCCTTGGTGGATGTGGCTAATGGAAGGCAAAGACACATATGTTACAGAGACTCCAAACTTACATTTTTGTTACGGGTAAGCATTTATGCATAGACATACTGAACATGTATGTATTTATTGCAAGTATTTATATAGCACTTTTGATTCACGCTGTACATACTATTCATTTCCATCAGTCACTGCCCTCAAGATGCTTACAATCTAAGGTAATGCAGGCCATACATGGGTCAAATTCTGAACAATTCTTTAGAAAATTGGAAATTTCATACTTTTTTTTTAATCAAATGGCTCCACCGTTGATTTGGAAATTTTGTGCATTTTGAAATCAGATGGCGCCACCATTGATTTCGAAATTCAAATAACCAAGCCTTCAATTTCACCTCATGTTACAGAAAATAATTTTTGTAGCCAAGAATTTTCTTTTCTATCCAGAATTTTCTTTCTTTAGTTTATATTCTCGTACGATTGTCCCATCATTGCTTTGAAATTTGTTTGTTTTTCAAAAAGATTCCAACATGCCCGATCACTCAAATTCGATGGTCACACGAAAATCAGCCGTTTCTGACCCACAAAATTTCGAACGAAAATTCTTAGAAAAGATTTTCTAAAGAAACTTCTTTCGGGATTCAACCTGTCTATGGCCGGCTTTACTCTCTTATAAGCACGCATACTTGGGGCCAATTAACCCACCAGCATATATTTTGGAGTATGGGAGGAAACTGGCTGACTGATGAAAACCATGCAAGCACAGAGAGGATGGATGTGCAAAACTCCAGGAGGTAGTGTCCTGGCTAACCTGGATTCAGACCTGGGAACCCAGCGCTCAAGACGGAAGTGCAGACCACTGATGGAACGTTTTTTGGTTGCAGTCATAAGTGGAAAACTAATATACAGTGCATGTTCAGAGTATTTGTTTTTGTATTCCATTTACCCAAAAGTTATGTTGCTTTTACTTGAATGCTGTTCTGTGTTTTTCTGTAATGTACATGTATCTTTTTATATAATCTATATAGATCTCACATATTTCTTTTAATTTAAGATGTGAAACATTATGAATAGTTTCTGCTTTAACTGCTCAGCTATAGTTTTAAACACATTTTACCCCAGCAGGGACTTAATCCTACATTATGATTAAACCCCTGGTTAGATTAAAGCGATACTAAAGGCAAATTTTTTTTATTTTTGTAAAATACTATTATATTGTTTTGTTATACTTGCTTGCTGTGTGCAGTGGATTTGCACAGTGCAGCCTGGATTCTCCTCTTCTCTGGCCCCGTCGGTGCTCCTAGCTCCTCCTTTCCGTTGGGTGCCACCATAGCAAGCAGCTTGCTATGGGGGGCACTCAAGCAGGCTGTTCCCAAGCCGCTGCTCCATGTGTCCATTCATCTATGGAGCTATGACTTGGCCCCACCCCTTCTCTCTCCTCATTGGCTGACTGGCTGTGATTGACAGCAGTGGGAGCCAATGGCTCTCGCTTGCTATCTCAGCCAATGAGGAGGCAGAGACCAGGGACAGCTGAGGCTGTTATGCACATCGATGGGGCTCAGGTAAGTAATGAGGGGACTGGGGGCACTGCTGCACACAGAAGGCTTTTTACCTTGCATAGAATGCATGAAGGTAAAAAACCTTGAGTCTTTCCAACTACTTTAACTGCACCTTCCTTGATTAGTATTACCTACTGCAAATGGTTAAAGGAAGTAACCTTCAAACTTTTAATTAGCAAAGTTTTTCCAGTATCCAAGCACCACCGTTTCTGCCTTTATTTTAGGTTAAAGAATTTTCCTTAAGTCACTGGTCACACCGCTGCGATTTTTAAATCGTGCAATTTGTGTGCAATTTCATCGTGATTTCAGGAGCGATATTCTAATGACTTTATTGCTACTTGTGAAGATTTTCAATGATTTCTTGCAATTTGCAGTGCAATTTCCATTATATTCTATGTATGTGAAATCGCAACAAAAATGCAGAAAAAAGTAATGGAAGAACTACTTTAGAAATCGCACTGCAGTAAATTGCACATGTTAAGACACTGACATTCACAATCATTAGATGCGATTTCAGGTACGATTGCAATTCGAAAATCGCACCAGTATGACCAGGCACTTAAAAATAGATCTGTTAGAAGATGTGCCACCTTGTTCAGAATTTGTGTTTTTGTTTGACGTATTTGTTTTCACTCTTAAATTTTCAGGATTCTCTTGGAGGTAATGCAAAAACCTTTATCATTGCAAATGTTCATCCTGGATCCAAGAGTTTCGGGGAAACGCTTTCTACGCTTCATTTTGCTCAGAGAGCAAAACTAATTAAAAACAAGGTAATATTTAAATTTTACTATTGTTGTTTACTCTCTTGAGCAATGAGTTTGAATTTTGATACAGAGAATTTTTAATTATGGCCCAATAAGCAACTACATAGGCTTCAATTTTTTTTTTTTTTGAAGGATTCACTTTAGTCAACACTGTAAATCAAGGGCTCTTGCACATGTCTGTACAAAGTAAAATATACCTGTTGTGGCACCAGGGAGCTACAGCTGCAGCATACAGCAATTTTGTCCAATGACAGGTATTACAGAATATGCTGTTCTTGTGTAACTGGCAGCACTTCTGTTTGCACGTTTGGAAATGCTCCAACCTTGGGTCTCTTCAGAGCTTCTACACTAATACAAACCTTTCCATTACACACGCTGTTTGAAATCCTCTTCTGTGCAAACTGGAAACACCCTGAAGGGTTCTGGGCCCCAGATGAGTGTGTAACAGAACTTCTCCCTCCATCAAGAGGGAATTAAACAGTGGACTGTACCCACATTGGATGTGCCAATGATTCCTCTTTATTAAGAAAACAACTTGGAAGGTAGATGGCATGTTTTCCCTTAACTTCTTGCCGACCAGCCACTGTAGAAATACGGTGGCAGGTCAGCACGGCTGGGCAAAACCACGTTTTAAAACGTGTGTTTGAAAAACAGGTAGGGGGGCGTACGTGAGGCGCGTGCCCGCTTTACCTGTCCCGCCGATCGCGGCCGTGGGTGTCAGTCGCCGGGTCACGGCCAGTCATTACCTACCGTGTCCCTGCGATTAGCGGCAATCACTGACAGGACGGCTGCAGTGTTTTCTGTCAGTCCCCTGTCAACTCCTGACATGCTGATCCGGAGAGAAGAGTTTATCTCTCCGGATCAACCTTGTTCCCGTGCAGTACACACCCCCGCCCCCTAGTAAAACACTCCCTTCACACAGTTAACCCTTTCAGTAAATAAAAAGTTAACCCCTTCCTCCCCAGTGCCATTAGTACAGTGTTAGTGGTTTTTTTTTTTTTGCACTGATGACTGTATTGGTGTCACGCCGCAGTCTTGCCATAAGTCGCTGATCGCCACCATAAGTCACTTATCGCCGCCATTATTAGTATAAAAAAATTTTTTTAAAAATCCCAGTATCTTTCCCGCCATTTGTAAACGCTATAATTTTCACGTAAACCAATTAATTTACACGTATTGGGTTTTTTTTTTTTTTTTTTAGCAAAGACATGTCGCAGAATACATTTTGGCAGAAATTTATGACTAAATTTGATTTTTACATTTTTTTTTTTTTTTTTTTTTTACTGGACATGTTTTATAGCAAAAAGTCCAAAATATTTTTTTTTTCCTCAAAACTGTCAGCCTTTTTTTTTTTTTTTTTTTTTTATAGCGCAAAAAATAAAAAAAACCGCACAGGCGATCAAATACCACCAAAAGAAAGCTCAGTTTGTGGGGAAAAAAAGGATGTAAATTTCATTTATGTACCGTATTGCATGACTGCGCAATTGTCCGTTAAACTAGCGCAGCGCTGTATAGCAAAAAAATGGCGTAAATTGCAGTATCTATACCATAGTTTGTAGACGCTATAACTTTCACACAAAGCAATCAATGTATACTTATTGGGATTTTTTTTTTTACCAAAAACATGTAGCATTTTGGCCTAAATTTATAACCAACTTTGAGTTTACTATATATTTCTTATAGCTGAAAGTAAAAAATATTGTTTTTGTTCAAAATTTTTGGTCTTTTCTTTTGTTTATAGCATGAAAAATAAAAAGCGCACAGGTGATCAAATACCACCGAAAGAAAGCTCTATTTGTGTGAAAAAAAGGATGTAAATTTAATTTGGGTGCAGCGTTGCATGACCGCGCAATTATCAGTTGAATTAGTGCCGTGCCGAGTAGTAAAAAGAGGCCTGGTCATTAAGGGGGGTAAATCCTCAGGAGAGCAAGTGGTTAAGGATTCTACTGATCTGTTTTGCTCTGGCAAGTTCTGCCCTCAGTCCTGTGTTGGCAGTGACTTTACTATGTCAACCTGTATCAGAACGGGATAAGATGCCTCAAAAAGGGACCTCTTCACCGCCTAGATAGCACCCTCTTTGATTGAATAGGTGGAAGAGATGTCTGGAGCCTTATGCTTCAGCTTTGATGACTTGCTACAAACCTTTAAACTACTGAGCCACATCTATGTGCCTCTGTTAGCCATGCAGAGGCACATAGAACTCTGGTTAAGCACTTTACATACTGGGCCAGCTCTGACATTTCACACATACAAGTAAAAATCTGCATTCTTTTTTTTTGCTAGAAAATGACTTGGAACCACCAGCATGTATAAATTTTTTTTGAAAGCAAGACCCCTGGAGACTAAAATGATGGCTGTTGCAATTTGTATATCTTTCCAATATTTGCGCAACAGTTTATCAAGTGCAAATTTTCAGGAAAAGATACTTTAATGAATTTTAGTGAACACAAACACTACATAAAGGATGATGATATAATACAGAGTAAATTGATACCCATCATGTCACTCTTTTTAAAATTGTGTATGCTCATGGAATGGCGACATAAGTTCAGTACATTAAATTATTCAAAGCTGACACTTTAAAAGCCTTTACAGGGTACCAAATTTGCTCTCACTTGTATATTTGTGGCGATACCTCATATGTGTGGTGTGGTCACAGTTTACATATGCGTGTGGGTCCTACTTGTGTATTTGCAATGACACATGGGGATAGGGGCTCTTTAAAAAGAAAAAAAGTTTTAAATTTTACTTTTTTTTTTTTTTTTCCATGGTCTCTGTCAGACCCCAGTTCTCTCTTCTGTCCTGAAAAGCATCTGATCATACCAAGATCGATTTGATCAGATGCTTGTGTGATCGGTAACGGTTGGGAAATGACAAACCAAAACCAGAAGTGATGAAATCCTTGTCGCTTTCAGCTTAATATGTCACAAAGGAGGGGAACATATGGATGTACCTTCCCCTCTGTATTCAGCTGGCCTAAAAGAAAGCAGCGGTCCCTGGACTCCCCAATCCCATTGGAAAGCAAGGGAACACCTGTTCCTTTTACAGGAATGCCATATTTCTCCCCCCTCCCATATGTTACATTCAAATTGTTAAAAAATATTCAAATAAACAAATACTGTAGATTAAAAAAAAAAAGTATAATTTAGACCTATTTATATTTCTGGATTTTATTTTAATATTGTTTTTCAACTGTTTGTGTGCAACATATCAGTTGTTTTTGGATAAATTGTCTCTCTTTATTCTGTGAGGAAGGCATATGGTGTGAGTCTCCAGGCTTCCACCCTAGAAGATTCTTCATTGAATGAATCCTCTCCTTGCTTGATCTGGACCAGCATTTGGCTCTCCGTACTATTTAAGGGTCTTTTGCTCTTGCTATTTTGTTTTATGGACTATTGACTTCTTATTAATTGATTAAAGCAGAAGTAAACCTCCGCAAAAAAAAAATGGGCCCCCGGAGCTTTTCTGCCAAACTTACAAGTGATCCCCTCCAGTAATGTGGTCTAAGTGCTCCTGTTCAACATAAAAGTCCTACTTGTCAGCCATTTTTCAACCTTGCTTTCACTTTAAGAACTTTGTTGAGGATGCTTCCCATGGGGCTTCCCATGTTTGTTCCTCTTTGACTCTGTAGGATATGAATCTAGTTCTTTTGCCACTTCTAAACTGCCCTTTGAATGTACCAGGGACATTTCCCTTATGGGTACAAGTGGAAAGGTATTTTTGTAGTCGTGACCTCTGCAAGGCAATGGTCTAAGCTGGAGGCTTTATCCTTTCTTGTCTTGGACAGTGTGGTATTGAAGCCCAGAACTTCATTCCTTGTCTTGGTAGTTTCTGCCTTTACCTCAGCCAGGATGTTTTTCTGTCCCTCTGTCCTGTTGCAGTTAATCAAAAGGAGATTTCTCTCCATTGCCTGGATGTGGTTCGCGATTTAAGTCTGTCAGCCACTGCTTCCTTCAAAGCATGATTTTCTGTATCCAGATGGTCCCTGCGACAATGCACTAGCTTTTTGCTCCATCATCTCTAGGTGGCTCAGACAGACAATTATTCAAGCTTACGGTCTTAAGGATTGGGTTCCAACATTTCCTGTGCAGGTGATTCTACTAGTTCTTTAAGTGCCACTGGGACATTTCTGCATCAGGATTCTGTTTCCCAATTTTCTAAAGCTTCAATAAGACGGGACTTAATAGCTTTGGACCTGGATACCATTGTGTGGGGACTATGAGCAAAAATTATATGCACTCTGTCATTATGCTGTGGGGAAGACTGCTACATATGTTATAGAATTGGATTGTTCCTGCTACACTACTGAACTACAATGGCAATAACAATGTGCGTATGTGGACATTTACTTCTGGAACTTTATGAAATGTTTACTTGTCGAACATTTTAGAATTTAATTGAAATGGTACTTGCCGATAGATATTATTTTTACTGAATGCAGCTCTGATTCAGCAAACTCCGCTCATTGGTGATTAAAGTATGAATTTAGATTTTGATTATCATTCCACAGTCCTTAACCATTTAAAAAGACCGCCCCTAAGCAGATGCATTGCTATAGGGTGGTTTGCGCTGTGCAAAATCACGTGTGTGTATATATATACATAATTTTTCAGTTCTGGATAGGGGACAAGCGCACACATGTCGCCCTACCTGCGCTCTCATGGGCTCCGGAAGATGTCAATCACTGTATCCCGACCAGAGATTCATGGCCAGGACTCCATAATCGGTGGAGAAGCTGACAGCAGAGAGATCTGTATGTAAACACAGATCTCTCTCCTGTCAGCGGGGACATGCTGCTTTCTATTTCTCTGCAAAGCAGAGAGATGGAAAGCAGCATATCCCCTAGTAAAACGCCACACTGTAATCGCAACACAGTACACTGTTAACCCTTTGATCGCCCCAGATGTTAACACCTCCTTGCCCAGTGTCATTATTACAGCAATCAGTACATTTTATTAGCACTGATCACTGTACTAGTGTCACTGGCAGTTAGTTCCCACCTAGTGTCAGTAAGTGGCAGAATGCTCACCGCAGTCCCACTATGTCACTGATCGATGCCATTACTAGTATTAAAAATATTTCCAGTATATATACACCGCCATTTGTAGATACTATAACTGTCATGTAAACCAATTAATATACACTTATGAAGAAATTGTATTTTTTTACATGTTTTATCGCAAGCAGCCAATTTTTTGTTTGTTTTTGTTTTTTTGGGTCTTTTTTTGTTTAGCACAAAGAAAAAACACAGAGATGATAAAATACCACCAAAAGAAAGCTCTATTTGTGGGGAAAAAAATTACATAAAGTTATGTACAGCGTTGCATGACCGTGAAATTGTCAGTTAAAGTAACGTAGCGTATTATCACAATAAAATGGCCTGGTCATGAAGGGGGTAAATCTTCCGGAGGTCAAGTGGTTAAAAACTTCTGGAACAGAAGGCAATATTTGTCTTGATAGAATTACAGGAATAATGATGATTATATATCTGACCGTGTGCTTTGATGATGTACACTGATTTATTGTTTTGTTTTTGTCCTGGTAGCATAGTTAGAAGCTCTTTCAGCAAAACAAATTGGGGTTTTTTGTTTTGTTTTTTTTCTTTGAACATTTGGGAGATATTCAGTATCTGCAGTACATCCGTCCGAAGTACCATTTTGAGATTTGGAATGCTGCTGCAATATTTTGGGTTATTTTTACAGTCTCCCTTAGCAGCATTTCACACTCACTGGAGATGTCCATTCATTAGGCTTGGAGAGAATGTTTGTTTATTTGTGTTTCTTTATTTAATAGGACTTATATTTAATGATACTGTATATTGCAGTGCTACCTAGTAAGCCACTGAATTGTGTGTCCAGCTCTTCCCTAGAGTTAATTCTAATTTGTCATCATTGAACACCTCCAGGCAGTAGTTAATGAAGACACCCAGGGGAATGTGAGTCAGCTACAAGCAGAGGTGAAGAAGCTGAAGGAACAGCTTTCTCAGCTCCTTTCCGGACAGATGCCACAGGATATTTCTATTGCCAGAGGTGAGATGAGAAATCAAAAGCATTTCCTATTACCTGCTTAACTCCTTCACCCTCACACTGTGTGCATGGCATGATAATGATGGCTCTAGCTGTCAGTGCATAAATAATTTGTCATGGCTCTGGATGTCAAACTCCTTGAAACTGACATTTTTATTTGACTTTTAATTAAGATTTTTTTTTTATCTACTTTGTACAGATTTTGAAACATATTCTTGGAGACTATGTTGGTGGTAGAATCTAATAATGTGTATAGTTCTGATAGGCTGTACTAACTGTTTATTGATGAAATCTGCATCTGCCATTGCAACCTTTGTTTTGGCTTCCCAAAGAACTTAGACAGCTGTCATTCTGATTGCTAAAAAATGTGTTGTTTTTTTTTGTTTTTTTTTTTTTCCCCTAATATGGACACTTGTAACTTTATACCACTGGCGAGTTACTGCTAGATGCTATACTTATGATTTGCTGTGCTGTTATGGCAGTCATTTACAACTAAAGCCTAACTCCAGCCGTATTTAGATTCGGGCAGAGTTATCAGTTGGGAAGATCCCCTCATTTCCAGACAAAGTGATAGAAATATCCTTCTTAGGGAAACAGACACACCTTACCATTTAGAGAGAGGCTTAGAAGTCTTTTTATCTCTTTTCAGTGTATGTCTGTGGACAGCTGCCTCCCCTGTTTCCTGTATGGGAGTAACAGGAAAATGAGAGCAGTTCTTACTAATGGGCTCATAGGCTGAAACTAAAACCTGACATAAACGTTACCTCTTAAGCTGGCCATACCCTGAACCAAATTTGATCAGTAGGTGGCCCTGTTTGCCGCCTCCCTCCCAACATCTTTCAATTGAAAAATTAGCTGAACAGGAGCTGCATCCAACCAGATGCAACCGCTGATCGGGTATTTTGACAGTAGGTGGGGGATGTTTTGCTTTGTTTTTTAAGGGTACTTTACGCTAAAAGCAAGGAGACCTTAAAGCAAACTTCTGTAATTTAACATGCTCTATTAAATGAAAAATGCTGTACCTACAAACTACGTACAGGCATATCTCGATTTACGAAGTTAATTCATTCTGCGGGACTTTTCGTATAGCGAACAATTCGTAAACCGAAACGCTGTTTCCCATAGGAATACATTGAAAACCAATTAAACCATTCCAGAAGTCAGAAAAACGTAAACACTACTAAAATACCGCATGAGTTATTTTATCAAGTCTTGCGGTATTTTAGTAGTGACAATGTTTCTGCTGTCAGCAGTGTTCTTCACTGACCGCTGAATGTAAAAGAGAGAGAATTGCCAGCAATTAAAAAAATAATTTAAAAAACGGCATGAGGTCCATCCATACCAAGCCCTTCGGGTCTAGTATGGATTTCGAGGGGAACTCCCACGCCAAAATAAAATAAAAATGACGTGGGGGTCCCCCCCCCAAAATCCATACCAGACCCTTATCCGAGCATGCAGCCCGGCAGGTCAGGAAAGGGGGGGGGGCAAACGAGCACCCCACCTCTCTTGAACCATACCAGGCCACATGCCCTCAACATAAGGGGGGTGCTTTGGGACCCCCCCCCCCCCCAAAGCACCTAGTCCCCATGTTGATGGGGACAAGGGCCTCTTCCCCACAACCCTGGCCGGTGGTTGTTGGAGTCTGTGGGCAGGGGGATTATTGTAATCTGGAAGCCCCCAGATCGCGTGCCCCCCCCCCCCCAATGTGAATGAGTTTGGGGTACATGGTCCTGCTACTCATTCACAAAAAACAAAGTGTAGTGTGAAAAAAGACAGGACACAGTCTTTGACAAGTCCTTTGTTAAAAGAAAAAACTAAAATAATGTCCCCCACAGTAGATCAAACGTCAATCACATTGTCCGCCGCCGACCCGAAAAAAAAGAATTAAAAAAAAAAAAAGGCTCCGCTCCCGACAATGGATCCCAGCCGTCTGACTCTAAGGTGGCTTGACAGTTCTTAAATATGTAAGGAGTGGGGCCACCCAGTGGCAACATGCGTGTGGCCCCACCTCCTTGTGACGACATTCACTCAGCATGCCCTGGTTGATGACACAAGGAGGTGGGGCCACACATGTGATGTCACTGGGTGACCCTGCCCCTTACATATTTAAAAACTGTCAAGCCAGTGGAGCAGGCAGACAGCTTGGTGTCAGCGTCTGGAGCGGAGCCTTTTTTTTTATTCTTGTTTCGGGTCAGCAGCGGACACCGTGATTGACGTTGGAGCTACTGTACTACAGGGGACATTCTTTTAGTTTTTTCTTTTAATAAAGGACTTGTCAAAGAATCATTCACATGGGGGGGGCAGGATCTGGGGGCTTCCAGATTCAGATTCCGATAAGCCCACAGACCCACACAACCACCGGCCAGGGATGTGGGGAAGCGACCCTTGTCCCCATCAACATGGGGACAAGGTGCTTTGGAGGGGGGGGGGGGAGGACCACACCCGCCACAAAGCACCCCCCCATGTTGAGGGCATGTGGCCTGGTATGGTTCAGGAGGGGGCGCTCGCTTCCAACCCCCCCCCCCCCCCTCCTTTCCTGACCTGCCAGGCTGTATGTTCGGATAAGGGTCTGGTATGGATCTTGGGGGGAACCCCCACACCATATTATTATTTTTTTTTTTTTTTCAACACATTTTTGATGTGGTTTCCCTCAAAACCCATACCAGACCGAAGGACTTGGTACGAATGGAGGCGGGACCCCACAACGTTGTTTTACTTATGGTGCTGGTTTTTTAAATGTAATTACCACTTTTTTTTTTTTTCCTTTTCTCTTCACTGTAGTTCAAAGATTCAGCTGTCACTAAAAGAAAAAGAGTTTCCTTTTAGTTTATTTCCCAAGTAAAAAGAAACCATGTTTCCTTTTTATTCAAAAAAGGAAAAAAGTGAGCGCTATATTGTAGAGCAGCTGGGACACCAAAAAGGTACCAAAAGAACCTCTCAAGAACAAAGTATAAATAAAGGTGCAGCGCTTATATGATCAGCAATATAAATCATGCAATAAAATAGTCCAACGTTGGAAGATGAAGTGTGTCAAATAACCAATCACTCATTAAAGTGAAAATTTGTGCATAAAGTGCAAACAAATGTCCACATAAACGGTCAGATGTGAAGGTCTAATGGTGAGATATCAAATACAGGAGTGATTCCTTCCCAAATCTTCTGGTGATAATCAAATAATAAATTGCGCACTCACCAGATGCGCAATAATATTGCGCATTTGAGAAAATATCTCAGAAGGTCACCTGTAGCGTCTTAAAGGAGCCTCTATAGCCTGGTATGGATTCCTCATTAAAATTTGAAGCAGTATCATGCTATGTGGCCTCCTCCTTTTTTGGACTCTTGAGGAGTCCAAATTTTATCCAGTCACAGGTTCTTTGGGAAAAACAAAAGGACCATGTGTAGAGAAGATGGCTGCTGTCATCCGTCACACGGTAGCTCCTCGCTGGCGTTGACAGCATAGGGGGTTCTCTCAACTCCTTGGTTCCAAATAATGAAAAATCACGCGGATGGCCCGCCGTTTTCGGACGCATCAAGAGTCCAAAAAAGGAGGAGGCCACATAGCATGATTGTTGCTTCAAATTTTAATCTAAATCCAGTCACAGGCCATACAATATAAAGCAAAAAAGAGAATGAAAAGTGCAAAAAGACCCTGACCATGTGTATAGGAAAATTCTATGGCTGCCGGACCAACACAGGACCTCGGCAGCTTGACGTCACAGCGTTTTGTCCAAAATTATTCTCCCCTCTGACGCGTTTTTGCTACCACACACATATTCATAGGGGTATGCTATCAACGCCTGACGTCCATCTGGTTCTATAAATAATGAAAAAACACGCGAATGGTTGCGCCCGCCGTTTTCGCGGCTATTGCACGCATATGCGCGAACGTGTGATTCCATATTCACAAATGTCCCTGCACATGCGCGATATCTGGGCGCCATTTTGTTGTGGATTTTCGGTGCAAAGTTAAATAGGATCTAATAACGATGCGCGTGCATCTCCATGCATTGTTATGGTGTCCCACCAGATTCTGAATAAATACATGGTGATCACATCTCAAAGAGATGTTCCAGAACACAGGTATGCTTGCATCAAACAGCTAGAGAATTCCGATGAGTCTTATAACAGCAACATAATGTGGCTTTTCAAACAATTGAGGGCCCAAAATTCTACAATTCCTATAAATTTGTGCAAAACCAGTCGCACTCTGTGCATTTGCGACAGCAAGGGGGTACGCCTAACCACGGATATAAATTGCACTTTGACAGAAAATCAATTTAGGTCAGTCTACGCTTCATGGCACATAAGTATCCAACTTTTTCTACAGATGATGCTTCCTAAACATCTTTGCAATCTTCTTATAGCCACAAGTCTTCCTGGACCATTCTCTTGCCTTCACCATGTTTGTACCCATGCCTAATTGGTGCTTATTATGCTTGATTGCTGCTCGGTGACATCCACAGGTGTTTTCAATACCTGAGTGGTAGTCTTTAAGGGGTTGAATAATTGTGGCAATGAAGAAACCACATAAGAACCATTTACTACTGTATTACATAAACAATTGATGTCATTTTAGTTGCATGGGTAGTTACAACGTCCTTGTTAGGATTTGATTCTGAATACAATTCCAAATAAGGGTTGAATAATTTTGGACACAACTGTAAGTATCCAACTTTTCTAGATCATAAAATACAGTCAGACCCATAGAGTAATTGACTCCTCAAAAGACTAGGGTGATCATTGTACAGTTAGCAGTAAAATACAATTATTCATCAATTATAATTAAAATTGTGAAAATTGTGTTAAAATATATAAATAAAAAACACAGTAAAAATCAAATATAACTGTATAAAATCAAAATTAACTACAAATATGGACTTCATTAAAAACCACATAAAAGGTGTTTCCTTTTAGTTTCTTAAAAGAAACAGTTTCTTTTAACTCCGGGGAAAGTGACAGCTAATTCTGTGAGCTATAGTGAAGAAAAAAAAAAAGCCAGCATTTGCATTTAAATATCGGCACTGACCTACACTTCTTTGTATTGTGAAAAAAAATTTGTAAACCGAGGCATTATTTTCAATGGATTTTCATTCGTAAACCGAAAATTACATTAACCAAGGCGTTCGTAAACCGACGTACACCTGTACAATATTAGTAAACAGAGTATCAAAAAATATGCATACAGTACGATATACACATGCACAAGCTACCTATCCTTTCTAGCAAATGAGCATAGACAAAATATGTGATGGGGATGACACTAAATCTACAATCCAAGTCAAGTTCCTATTTCCAGTCTTTATTATGAAGTCTTCTTCCTTCTATCCAAAATCTCTTCCAGACTACCCCTTGCTCCTCATAGTCTTCCAAATCTAATGCTTTGTGTTGAACACATGCCTGTGTTCAAGTTTTTTTTTTTTTTCCCCCTCCCCCCCCTACTTCCTGCCAACATCACTTCCTACTTCATTAGCTGCATAACAAGCCAAACAAGTTAATTAGCATATACATGGAAAAGCCCAGGTTCTAATAAATGGTAACCAAATGCATTATTCCATTTATTTAAACTTTAAAGTAGCCATGGCAACACAGGGGCCGGCTGCCAAAATATAGTGGACACAGCAGGAGATTTGTCTACCCATGCTGTATAGTGGAGAGCAAGAATTTTTTTTTTTTTTTTTTTTTTTTTTTTTTCATTAGATGGAATTCAAGCATTTTATGGCAACATAAAATGCACTCATAGACCTTTTGTGATTATTTGTACCTAGAATCAAAGAGCCCACTTTTGGAAGTGTCCCCAGGTTTTCCAGGTTACCCTTCGTTGCCGTACTGAGGAAGTAAAAAAAGCCTGTTACTTAAAGAGCTCAACGGCTGATGCTACACCATCAGAGGAATGACTTGCTCACTTCTCAGTCTGCTGTGTTATGGAAGGCCCTATGGTGTTACATTTGAAATGTTGAATGCCCTAAAGCTGTTAAACATGTATATATATTTTATATTTTTTTTTTGAAGTTCCAATATGTGAAAATGTTGAAGTGCTTTTAGCAAACTTTTGCATAAGAACAGGGATTCTTGCTTTGCATATATTGCAATAGATGTTCCAGCTGGCTAACTGTATCCAAGTCAGGGACAGAAAACCTTAAAGAGGTGATCTACCTGAGCAACATGGGATACGTCAAAGATCACTGGGCACAATGTCCCCTCCTCATCACCTGATTTAAACCTCTATTTGGCAATCATGGGTTTAAATCAGGTGGTGAGGAGGTAACATATCCCCTCCTCCCCACCTGTCAAACACACTTGGATCGCTTTTCAGAGGGGCAGTAGTGCCTGCTGCATTTGTGAATGAGAATTAATTGCATTTTGGCAGCGGCACCTTTCGAGCTTGTTCACTTCTAAAGTTGGGGGGTGGTAAAACCATGTGGCAGCAGTTGTCAAAAGTTGGGAAGTGGTAAAACCCTGTGGTAGCAGTTGTCAAAGGTGTGCACGTGCTGCAGCAGCAATTGAACTCACTGTTGCTTTTGGTGGGTGTGCTACCGCCTGCAAATCATGACCCATTCAAGTAAATGGGGCCACTCTGGAAGTGCCCTACAACTGTATGCTTCTGCAGGGTCCAAGGGGTTAAAGCAGGTAGTGAGAGAGCAACACAACACTGCCTGTTTTAACACCTTGTTTGCTGTACTGCACAAGGTTGCTGGGCACTTGCAGAGCTGCCTTATTCACTTGAATGGGTCATGCTTGGTAGGTGCTAAACCTACCAACCACGATAGGGCGTATAACTCCTGCTTCGGCTGTGATGTGTACACCTCCGGCACATCAGCTAAAGGGGTTGCAGTGGGGTGGGGGGTGGTAAAAACACATTTTAACTATGGGGTTTCACCCCCCCCCCCCCCCCCAAACTGCAAATGTAAATGAACCCTTGCTGTTCTGACCACCCTATAAGGCTGCTTTCACACTGCACCGTGGGTGCAGCACAGTGCATGTGCCACTTTCCTGGGTTAGCTGCACTTTGCCATAGACTTCTATTATATCTTGCAGGTGTGGTGCATTTTCTGAAAGCTCCCCCGAAACTCCTGTATTCAGGAGTTTTGGTGCACTTTCAGAAAGTGCAACACACCTGCAGGATACAATAGAAGTCTATAGATAAGCGCAGCAAACCCACACGAAAGTTGCAGGTACACTGCACTGCACCCGTGGTGTGGGTAAACCACAGCACATCAATGTGAAAGCAGCCCTATAGTATAATGCCCAGTGTTCTGTTTCACACTGACCTGAAGATCTCTTCTTCCCTGCTGCTGGCACTCGGGAGAATGGTAGCCAGGATAAGAGGTGGAGTGCAGTTGATATCACTCCATGAAGAGCAGGAGCCAGCACTACAGAGGAGGCATCAGCTTATACGGCAGTTGCTCCTTACTACAGCTCCAACTTTACAAGTAGCTCCTCTGCACTGCACTCTGAAGCTCTGGGATGGCGAGTCAGCATGGTCACAATCTACCAGTCACATGGCTGTGATCTACTGATTGCAGATTCCTGATCTAAGTGATCCTCCTTTGGTCTGTCCCTAACACATGTGAGTTGTCTGTGCGCAGCTCCTGGCACACTCCCACCATTCATCTACAGCAACAACATTGCATGTACAAATCAAGCAGTGGGACAGACATATTTGTTTTGTTTTTAACCACTTGCCGCCCAGCCACCGCATATAAACGGTGGCAGGGCGGCGCTCGTAGGCAAAAGCACGTTTTAAAACGGCTGCCTTCAAAACAGGTAGGGGGCGCGCGCCCGCCCTACCTGTCCCGCGCGGGTGTCAGCCGACGGGTCACGGCCGGTTTTTCACCAGCCGTTTTCCCGCGATTGCCGGTGATCGCTAACACAGAGCAGGGCTGCATTGTTTACACACAGCCCTGTTCTGTGTCAGTTCTCTGACAGCTTGTGAGAAGCTGCAGAGTTTCTCTCCCTGGATCAGCTCCCCCCCCCGTCCAGTACACACCCCCGCCCGCTAGTAAAACACTCCCCTTACACTGCAAATTCTAAAAATGTTAACCCCTTCCTCCCCAGTGACATTAGTACAGTTTCAGTGGGTTTTTTTCACTGATCACTGTATTGGTGTCACTGGGGATGTCAGTGACCCCAAGTCAGTTCCCCCCCCCCCCCCCCAGTGTCAAAATGTCCGCCGCTGTCCCGCAGTCCTGCCATAAGTCGCCGCCATATGTCGCTGATTGCTGCCAAAAGTCGCTGATCGGCGCCATTATTAGTATAAATAAAAATTTAAAATTCCAGTATCTTTCCCGCCATTTGTAAATGCTATAACTTTCACGTAAAAGAAATTAATTTACACGTATTGGGATTTTTTTTAGCAAAGACATGTCGCAGAATGCATTTTGGCAGAAATTTATGACTAAATTTGATTTTTCATTTTTTTTTTTTTTACTGGACATGTTTTATAGCAAAAAGTCCAAAATATTGTTTTTTTTTTTCCTCAAAATTGTCAGCCTTTTGTTTTATAGCGCTAAAAATAAAAACCGCACAGGCGATCAAATACCACCGAAAGAAAGCTCAATTTGTGGGAAAAAAAAGGATGTAAATTTCATTTATGTACCGTATTGCATGACCGCGCAATTGTCCGTTAAACTAGCTCAGCGCTGTATAGCAGAAAAATGGCATAAATTGCAGTATTTATACCATAGTTTGTAGACGCTATAACTTCCACACAAAGCAAGCATCAATATACACTTATTGGAATTTTTTTTACCAAAAACATGTAGCAGAATACATTTTGGCCTAAATTTATAACAAACTTTGAGTTTACTATATATTTTTTATAGCTGAAAGTAAAAAATATTGTTTTTCTTCAAAATTTTTGGCCTTTTTTTATTTATAGCGTGAAAAATAAAAAGCGCACAGGTGATCAAATTACACCGAAAGAAAGCTCTATTTGTGTGAAAAAAAGGACGTAAATTTCTTTTGGGTGCAGCATTGCATGACCGCGCAATTATCAGTTGAATTAGTGCAGTGCCGAGTAGCAAAAAGAGGCCTGGTCATGAAGGGGGGTAAATCCTCAGGTGCTCAAGTGGTTAACTAATTTTTGGGGTTTAAAAAAAATGTATTTAGTTTCATTACATGACATTTTCTAGATGACTGCAATTCAGCTTTAAATGCATTTATTTCTTGTACAGTTTTGGCCATTTTATGTATTCTTTTATTATAACCCTATATCTTTAAATCCAGCACCTTCTGTTGATGAGAACATTGCAGATTACATGAACAACTTTTTAGAGGCAATGATACTTTTGGAGAAATCTGAAAATGAGAAAAAGGTAAAGTTATGGTCCATTTGGTCATATTAGTTCAAATGTTTTCACAGTGTTTCAAACGGAACTAATCCCATCAATTTACCAGTTTCAAGAAAGGGTACTTTCCCAGCATGCCAGAAGTGCTAACTGTCACATTTACTTGTGCTCTCAACCATGCTGTTAAACCATCAAATGACTGCAGTCATAACTGATCACGTGCAGCATCATGGCAGTTGCAGATTAAACAGAGGCTAAGATGGAAGCTTCCTTGGCTGAAAAGGATATGAGGGTTTAGTTCCACTTTAAAATATTGCCTAAATTAATAGATTCAGTAAACATTTCCTACTGGCACTTTCTGCAGTTGCTGATTCACAGTGGGCTAGTACAATATTTGAAAAATTGAAATGTTTTTCAGGTATTTTAGCTCGACCGTGTGGATGTCTGCATTATTGGGGATCTGCTTCTCTTTCCATACACTGACTTGAAAGTATAAATTTTGGATATGTATAAATGCAAACAACTACCCGATGTTTGTAAGAATGACTGTGCTTGCTGTGTCCATTCAGCAGTTTCTATCTAGATTTGTGACAAAGGTGGGCATAGTGGCCAACTAACTTGTATGTCTACTTTACCTATGATTCCTGCTGGGGCAGTTCTGTTACTGAATTCCCACTTTAATGGTTTCATTGCATGTTAATGTACTTTTATCAATATAATGCATTTTGTTGAAATCTAAAGAGCAACCCTTCACCTTTTTAAGTTCAACATTATTCTGCAGGCCGTATTACAGAAAGTAGCTCAGCTGGAAGACCTCTGCAGCAAGAAAGAAAAGTTCATCCAGTCAAACAAAATGATTGTTAAATTCAGGGAAGATCACATTGCTAGACTTGAGAAGGCTCACAGAGACGGCCAAGCAACCTTGTCGAATACTGAACAGGACGACCTCATAGCAGAGATGAAGGAAGAACTCAGAGTTTTAAAAGGACAGGTAAAGACTAAAATGCATTGAAATGAAAGCACAAACTTTCATTTTTTTTCTGCTGTCTCCTTCCTCTGTCTGCATGAATCGCTGCTCTCTGCATGTGTTGACACCAGACAATTTCAGGTGACGGCCTTCTCCCCACCAGCATACAGCAGGTGATAGACATCCTCAGCTGTCCAGGTTTCCTTCAGAGTGTGTTCACTCAGGATCCAGATTTAATTGAACTCTCCTCTTTATTCTCTGAAAGATGTCCGATTTCCCCCCCCCCCCCCGCCATCTGGAACCCTTTTTCTATGTATTTTAGAAGGCTGTACAGGAGAGAGAGCTACAGATAAACAGGTACAACTTATGTAGGAGCATTTATTTAATCTATCATCTGAGGCTAGTCACTTCAGTAGGATTTATGTAAAGGTTGACAACCACTGTAATGATTCATACTCCTGAATGGTCTAAGGTTCAGTGTTGCACTATTTAATTTGACAAATGAGATTTAACTCTTTCACTGACATTGATTTGTGCTTTTTTTTTTTTTTTTTTTATTTTTTTGAACTTTTGCACACGCCTAAAAGATTATTTTGGGCATGAAGATTTAGCTAAACCCCCAAACATGATATATTTTCTGAAAGCAGACACCCTGAGGAATAAAGTGGCAGTAGTTTTAATTTTTTTGTCACATGATATTGATGCAATGGGATGTCAGTAAAAAATACTTTAACTTTAGGACTCACAAATGCAATATATTACCCAGGTTTCCTAAAGCTGTGCCATTTAAATAGATACCCAACATGTCAAACCTTAAAAACTGCAGCAACAAACTTTGGTACCCTAAATTTTTCATAGATGCTTTAAAAGCCCTTTAGTTAATCAGATTTAAGTTAACCATGAACAATGGGCCTATAATTTTTCCTGTCAACCCACTGTGTGCAGCGATAAGTAATATGTGTACCTCAATCAACATTTTCTGGCATAGGCACCCCTGCTTGCATAGGCCCGTTACAGTCCTTAAATCTTTATCCTAAAATGCAGTGGTTCTCCAGTTCAATCTAATTTAAGTTTTTACCTACTTGTGACTTTCAAACGCCACACTTGCTATCACTTTTCATTTGTTTAGAACCCATGTCCATTATTCAGACTTGGCCTACCCAAAAACAGACTGCATGCCACTCGTGACAGTTTTTCACTTGAAGCATTCACACGCCGCAATATCGTAAACTGCATAGCTAGGTGGCAGTCTTCTCTTAATTGGTATGGTGGAGCTGAAGGTCTTTCTGTGTTGCTGTAACATAAGAATCCTGAAGAATAGAGTTGCAGTATTCATTTTCTCTGCTTTCTATGTTTTTATTCTAATGCATATTTTTTCATAGAGGTTGCAGAATTCAGTTTCTTGGAAAATAATTGACTTGTCTCTATATATGTGTCCTATATTTAGATTGAGCATCACCCACGAGTAGCCAAATATGCCTTAGAGAACCACAGTCTAAGGGAAGAGAATAAGAGTCTCCGCTCTCTCCAGTCTGTAAAACGAGCGCAAGAAATTAACAATCAAATGATCGCAGAGCTTGAGAGAGCTTTCTTGGAAGCTTCTTCATGTGCAAAGAATAATGGAGGTAAATTTATTTTTCTTTTTTGTTTTAATTGAAGCTGTTTTGATATTTATTAACTGTTATCATTGGTATGAGCACTACTACAAATTTGTGTGACTAAAGCTAACTAAAGAAATAATATACCAGAAGTGAACAGAAGCCCTAGGACATGGGTACATGGGTAGGTGAGAGGTTATCCTCTTGTCTGTCTCATTGCCTTTTGTGATGTAGATTAAAACTTAGATGTTACTAGGGCTCTAAGATTTTTATTAAATGGCATTCTTTGCAACAGTAGGCCTGTCACTCTGTGGTATGGACTGGTCTTTGAAGTGCAACTTCATCTAAGTTTTTTTTTTTTTTTTTTGTTTTTTTTTGTTCTTGTTAGGGGGGAGCATGTACCTAGTTTTGATAAGTACCCTCTCCCACTTCTGCTCGGCATTGCGTAGGTGATCAAGAGTGAAAGTTCAGCCCCCCTGCCTGCATCCTCATGGGGTGTGTGTTGGAAGATCCCCCCCCCAAAGAGGAAACACTCTCTCTCTCTCTCTCTCTCTCCATCTCCCGGGTAAAGAAAAGAGAGAAAAAAAGAACTCCCTCTCTCTCTACCCCAACGGAGCTCTCCTCTACCCCTTTCTCCCCTCCCCTCTCTCTCCCTCCCCTCCTCTCTCTCTCCCTCTCTCTCTCTCTCCTCTACCCCTTCTCTCCCCCCCCTCCTCCTCCCTCCCCCCTCTCTCTCCTCCCCCCTCTCTCCCCCCCCGAGAAAGAAAGAAAGGAACCCTCTCTCCCTCCCCCCTCTCTCTCCTCCCCCCTCTCTCTCCCTTCCCCCCTCTCTCCCGCAGAAAGAGCTCTCTCCACTCCACCCCCCTCTCTCTCTCTCTCTCCCTCCCCCCTCCTCTCCCCTTCTCCCTTCTCCCCCCTCTCCCTCCCCACAAAACTCTCCCCCCCCCCCTCTCGCCGGCGCCCCCCCTCTCCCCCGGACGAAGCTCTCTCCCCCCCTCCTCTCCCTCTCCCCTCTCCCCCCCCTCCTCTCTCCCTCCCCTCTCCCCCCCCTCTCTCTCTCTCCCTTCTCTCCCCCCTCTCGCTCTCCCTTCTCTCCCCCCTCTCTCGCTCTCCCCCCGTCTCCCCCCCCTTCCCCTTCCCCCCTCTCTCTCTCCCTCCCCCTCTCTCTCTCCCCCCCCCTCTCCTCTCTCCCCCCCCCCTCTCTCCCTTCTCCCCCCTCTCTCCCTCTCCCCCCCCTCTCTCTCTCTCCCCTTCTCTCCCCCCCCTCTCTCTCTCCCTCTCTCCCCCCCCTCTCTCTCTCCCTTCTCCCCCCCCCCTCTCTCTCTCCCTTCTCTCCCCCCCTCTCTCTCTCCCCCTTCTCTCCCCCCCTCTCTCTCCCTTCTCTCCCCCCCTCTCTCTCCCCCTTCTCCCCCCCTCTCTCTCTCCCTTCCCCCCCCCCCCCTCTCTCTCCCTTCTCCCCCCCTCTCTCTCTCCCTTTCCCCCCTCCTCTCTCTCCCTTCCCCCCTCTCTCTCTCCCTTCCCCCCCTCTCTCTCTCCCTTCCCCCCCCTCTCTCTCCCTCCCTCCTCCCCCCTCTCTCTCTCTCCCTCCCCCCTCTCCTCTCTCCCTTCTCCCCCTCTTCTCTCTCTCCCCCCCCCTTTCTCTCAATACCATTTATTGTGGGGATCACCTTTCCCCAGTATCTGGTGATTGCAGGACAGCTCCAAAAGACCTGAGAGAAGTCTCCAGGAGAATTGGCACTCTGGTGAGGTTGCAGGGTTCATTTTGTGGAGTCACACAGTGTTGATCGTCTAATTCCAGAATGTCCCACAAACACCATTGAGCAGATGAATCAGGGATGGAGACTAAAAGCAAATATTTGTATAACACTAAAACAGTTATTTTGGAGAACTCCGTCCGAAGCAGTTGCTCTAGGTTGGTGCTGAAAATAGTAGCAGGCAGAAACATTGTAAGCTGAGGATGAAATATGGGGGGTTGCAGGGAACAATTGTCTACAATGTGGGACATCAGAGTTATTCTGTATTTGGCCTAGGCCCATGGGTCAGGAAATGTATAAAAATGTGGCAAGGTGGAGTATTTGGGGAAACCGCAGCCTGTGGAAAAGCTTCGGTAGCCAAGCCCAATTTCCAAGCTTTGATAGTGGTTACAAAGGAGGGCGTCAGTAGGTAGGGGGCTTTGGAGCCACAGAAAAGAAGGTGTTGAAGGGCCTCTAAGGAGCGTAGAATTGCTGCCTCTAACACTATGGAAGTATTGGTCAGATTGGGGCATAGCCACAACCTACCCATCACCAATTGGGAAGCCAAGAGGTATTTGTGGCAGTCTGGTAGAGCCAAACCCCTCTGGTGGTGGGCCTCATTAATGTGGTCGATTTGTTTCACGAAGGACAAGATCACAAAAAGAAAGAAAATAATTGATTCAAATGTACATGTTCTTTGGAATCCATTGAGAGGAGTGTCTAAACAGGTAAATGAATTTGGGAATTTTTTTTCGTGGGAAGCTTTTTCACCTTTATCAAATTTATGCAGCTCAATAGTGATAAGGGCAGATTCTCCCACACTTTGAGCCGTAATCCGTGGCTTTACCTGATACTATTGCTCCCAAATATCTGAATTACTCATCCCATTGTAGCTGTAAAGGTGACTGTGCCGAACTACTGGTCTCAGGGTCAATTGGGAATAGCAAGTATTTGGACCAGTTAACCCTCAGCCTCGTAATGGTAGAGAATTCCCTCCACGAAGGATCTGCATCATTGAGGAACAATAAATAAATCGTCCGCGTCCCACGCCTCTCCTCCAGCCAAGCAATCCATAAACCCTTAATGAAAGGTTAGACTCGCAGGGCCTCCACCACAGGCTCAATTGCAATAGCGAATAGTGGTGAGAGGGCAGCCCTGCTGGGTACCCCTATGTAGGGTGAAGGGGGAGGATAAACCACCTCCCAATCTGAGAACAGCCGTAGGGCTGTGATATATAGTCTGGAGCAAGCGTATAAATAGCACCTACCAGACGTAAGGCCATTCCATGGTATCAAAGGCCCTGTCTGTCAAGTGAAGCCACCACCCTGGTAAGTACATTGGAATTTTGAGCATGGATATTCATAAAAAGTCTACACAAATTAATATCTGTGGCTTTATGAGCCATGAATCCAGTTTGATCTGCATCAACCACTGAATGCAAAAGAATTCAATCTGCAGGTGAGAAGTTTGGTTAGAATCTTTAGGTCACTGTTCAGTAGGACAATGAGCCTATAAGAGGCACAAAGTGTGGGGCCTTTGGGAGACTTCTAAATAATTATCACGTGGGCTTCACTCATAGGGGAGGGAAGTCTGTCCACTGCAAGGCATTGGGTAAACAACAGCGCCAATCGAGAGGCTAGAAACTCCATGTGTTCTTTGTGAAATTCTATGGGTATACCATCAGCACCTGGTTCCCATTAGAGAAGAAGTGCAAGCAGTTATTCAGTCCATCTTGAGAGATCAGCTGTACTAAACTAGATCTTTCCTTTGTTTGAAAGCCAACCAAGGGCAACTGTGTCCAATAGGGAGGACATACTAGGTATATCTGCAGCCGATGGTAAGGAAGGGGTATTTAACTTTTTCATAATACATTTTAAATTCATCCAGAATGGCATCCGGAGAAGTTACCACTCTACCATCATGGGTTCTGATTTCATGGATCAAGGTGGTAAAAACATCATGTTGTGCCAACATAGCTAAAAATCTGCCATTCTTGTTGTCTTGCTCAAAATATGTCTGCTTTCGGGAGTGGAGTTCTAATCTTGTAACCTCAGCTAAGTGCAGGTGGAGCTCTCTCTTGGCAAATTGGAGCAGATCAAAGTTCACTGTGTCGGGGGGGGATTTATAGTGGGCCGCCTGGTCCTCCACCTAGCCCTGGAGGCCAGGTCACCTCAGCAATGTTTATAGGCAGGGGATTGCAGCATTGTTACAGAACAGAGCACAGTATGGCAGACCTGAATGCCAGCTCTGTTTCCAGGGGTCAGGCAGTAATGGCCTTCAATGCAAGATGGAAGCCTCAGGTGCGCAAAATAACCATCTTGGAAGGAAAATGTGTTGATATGAAATTTTCCTTTGAACAAAGTTGCTGTCTAGCAGAGGTTTTTTTTCCTTCCTATTTTTATTTTGAAATGGTTAGAAATCTTTCTCAACTTATGAAATCAGAAACCTAAAAATCGGGACTTCAAATACTGTTGGGCATATTTATATAACTGTGACATTCATACAGTTAATTTAAAAGCCTTTATAGCCAACAGCGTCCGGGCACCCTGGGTTTCCTTACTCTATGCATCCTTTGAATAGGCGCTCAACGCGTACATCTCTATCATATGTCGCTCAGTGGGAGCGCGACTTGGGGGCGGTCGTAGATCTGAAGGACTGGAATAAGGCCTGGTCACTTATAGCTAAATGTTCATTTAATACAGCCACACTGGATGCGGCATATAAAGTACTGTTTCGTTGGTATTGTCTCCCAGCTCATATATCCCAGGCCCAAACCCTGCCTATAGTGATCGCTGCTTTCGGGGTTGTGGCCATCGTGGAGATGTTGCATATATAGTGGTCTTGCCCAAGACTGATTAGTTTTTGGTCTCGTGTATTTGGCCTTCTTTACACCTTGTTCCAGCTCTCTATATGCCGGGAAGCTTCATTGTCCCATAACAGGCCTGTTGGCTTCCTATTTGTTCTTGTCGGCAACTAGAACAATTGCTCAGGTCTGGAAAAGTACATCTGTCCCTCTTCAGGGGGTGCAGGACCATATGACCACTCTGATGCTCAAGAACAGATGTCGAGTATGCGTAATAACTCCCAACGGAAATTTTTGAAAATATGGGAGCCGTGGTTGACATGTATGCTTTTCCCACGCTCCCCCTGCCTAGTCTGGGTGTATAATTCTGTTCGGTGGTGGCGTTCCCGGACCCATGCTTCTGGTCTTGTCTTCTTCCTTCTCTACTCCCTTTTTTTTTTTTTTTTTTCCTCTTTATTTTTGTTTGATTTCTGTGAGGCGATAGATATTTGCTTATGGTTTGAGCTTCACTGTTTTTGTATTTTATGTGCCATTGATATCCCCTGCATGGGCTTGCCTTCTGCAATGTTGGTGTTATAACATTGTTGTTTATTTTTACTGTGCCATTGAGAGCCCCTGCATGGACGTGTCTTTTGCTCAAGTCCTTTTTTAAAACATTTGAAAAGGTAATCAAATCCATTGAAAGCCTTTATAAATATTATCCTAAATGTTTTGTGGGGATTTTGTTTTTTGTTTTTTTAATGTGATTTTTCTATACATTTTTTTTTTCTCCTGTCTCCAGCTTTACCAATGCACTCCACACCAATACCCTCTGAAAATACTGCAGTTTCTACGGAGAGACTAAAGGAGAAGGTACTTCAGCTTCAAAGTGAGCTGGCCACAGCAAAACAAGAATATGAAGAATTCAAAGAATTGACAAAGTTAGTTGATAGTCTTCTTCTGATCCTTTAATACAATGTATCCTAAAGGTAACATTTAGAGAGAGAATGCCATTGATGAGCTTGCATTTAATATGCTGTGCTTGTACTTGTTTGCTTGGCTGCTATGTTGATCCAAAGGCTCCATTGCTTTGACACGGACTCCAAACAACTATACAGATCAGGAGCTCTGACTTGCAAGAGAGATTAGCCCTAAGTCACCTTTCTCTTCCATTTTTAGTGATGCTTCTTGGATATTGGGTCTAGTACCACACATTTTATATGCATGAACATTTTTTTCAAAAAGATATTTAATGCCTGAAAACAGCAATTAGATTATAAAGTTTTCAGAAGACTGCATCTTTAGGTAAGCAATTTCATAACAGCCAGTAGCCTTCCTAAACCTCTTCAAATTTTCCTTTTGCTGGGTCCACCAGTGATCAAAGTATTGGCTGTCACAGAGGATTGCATGACTGGAGCAAAGATTGTGTAATTGCACTTGATGACAGTTACTTGGTATTCAAGGATTCTTCTGCAACAAGAGCAATCCTTGCCACAAGCTTGGGAATATCCGCACTGCAGAGGTGCCTAATATTGAATGTCAAGTTAATTTTGGAAGGGAATACAGAATTCATCTATACAAATGTATGTTTGAATCTCTTAGGAAGAAGCAGGTTGAACAGGAATCTGAACTTCAGTCTTTGCTCAAGTCTAATCAGCATCTTGAGAACATTTTGGAGGCCATCAAAGCTCACAAGAGGAATGAAGTGTCTCAACTGAACAAAATTCATGCAGAGACAATAAAGGTAAGAATCCTTAGTACTGGGCAAGCAAAATAAATCTGCATTTAAATATTATCTGTATAGAACCTTTCTATTGTGCAGCAGATGCAAAGGAAAGCCATACATACTGTATTGGCCGTATTGTGTTCCTCAAGACAATCAGGGACTCACAATACATAGACACATAGAAGATGAGCAAGGAAGATTATTAGTTGCCCAGTATAATTCATATTCATACTTTAAAGCGGTAGTGTACCTACAGCTAAACTTATGGTATAGCTCACTTGTAGATAATGTGCATATCTCCTAAACATGCACCATTAAGGAGATATTTACATCGGCAATTGCAGTTGACATCTCTGCACATGCGCTGTGATGCTCTGCATTTAGGGTTTACAGTGCAATGAATGCAGAACGCTATGCCGCTATGATGACTCCTGTGTGTGTATGTGCAGAAGTGACATCATTGCTGTCCAGCCTTTCAAGTGTCCGGATTGGCGCAAACATGGAGGGAAAATGGGAGCACTGGCAGCAGTCGCAGCACTACTGGAGGGCTCAATTTTAAAAAATGTCTGCCATAGTGTGCTAATATGCAGTATTGCACATTATGGCATACCACTGCAGGGGGCCTGTTAAAAAAATAAACCATAAACACTAGGCCTTATTACTGCTTTAAGGGACACGGAAGGGTAATTCAGGTACATAGGGTTATGCTCTCCTGAAAATTGAACACTAGCAAAACAAAGCTATAAGGACTGCTTAGTATCGCTCCAACTCTCATCATGTTCCAGTTTTTGCTAGTGTCCTAGAACTGATGTCTTCTTTACTCTGAGAATAGAGCACATTGGACTTTGTTGAAGGTACTGTCCTAAGTCAGCTGCAGAGTGCTGTACAGGTCCAGGGCTACGGTGCACCTGTGTGGTGGAACACTCTCCCTTAAGATTTGGGGAGTATATCCAGCTCCCTGAATGTGAGGCTATTTAAATGGCGCATGTCCCTTGGATCTTGACTAATCCAATCTGCCTAGTTGGGACTGCAGTGTGTCCCAGGACCACACAACTGCAGTAAGTCAGGACATCGCCCCTATGAGAAACGGGGTGTGCTTAAAAACTACTCCTTGGGTACCCCAATGGGTTGACTTAGGAGTTCTGGCTACTAAACCTGCAGGCTGTTGGCGGGAGGAGGCATAGGGCCATTTTTTTAAATTGACGCCATTACACTGCCTTTGCATCCCTGCTGAGCATGTGCAGCCCCTTTCTGGTATGTCATACAGTACATGCACAAGCCATTTTCTAAAGCATGTTCAGGCCTGCTTAGTCTCTCTCCCACCATATTGTCAGCCACACCATTATCATCCAGGATGTTTACTGCTGTCTCCAGTGACAAGTCACAGATGGCATTAGCCATTCCTGCTTCTGCAGTGTTCTGGTAAATATTCCTTGTGGAACTTGCCTGGAAATAACCTTCTAGCAGTGTGTACTGCTTTAGGCACTCTTCAGAGCCCAGTCTGTTAGCAAGTTAGCCACAGCTTTTTTTAAAGTCCACAGCCGCTGGCATTGCCTGAAGACTTTCCACCAGGAGCTATGTTTGTATATGCACCCCAGGGCACCTTTTGAATTTCCCGCTTGCCACTGGCTTTACCTCAGAATGGTTAAATCTTGAGGGACTGAGCATGGACATCAGCCGCTGGATGGACTATTGGTCACTCTGCATTCCTTCTGCCATTTAGTGTTGTGATGGTGTTTACCTGTTCTTTTTTATTTTGTTAGTTGTCTCTCCAGCTCTCAATGGCAGAGGTCCAACCTTCATTCATGCTCTGAAACACACGTATGATCCTTTGTTCTCCCCTAAGTCATGGCGTTTTTTTTTTCATTTTTGCAATGGATTCTTATCTGCCCTTGATTCAGGAGTTTGTTCCCTCAGATGCCTATGATGTGCAGATGGTAGTATTTATTGGACGTATCAGTGGATGTTGCCAATCCTCCAATGGACTGTCATTGGACTTCCTGACTGTTTTTTACAATGTCTGTGTCCCTTGGTGGATGATAGACAAAATACATTTTTGTACTTGATAAAAAATTTTCTTGTAGTCTGTTGAATGTGTTCCTCAATTAACTATTTTTTCCCCCCTGACTGTCATATGCAAAACCCAGTGGATTCAATATTTTGAGTCGCTTATGTGAAACGTGTACAGTATATACAGTAGTTTAGTACTTAGAAAAACTATGCAGATATGGAAAGCCAGAGATAAATTTTAAGTCTTTAAAGTGGTTCTAAAGGCTCAAGGTTTTTTACCTCAATGTAAAAAGATCTTTTGGGTGCCGCTTCATCCCAGCCTCCCTTATACTTATTTATTTCAGGTACTTATATAGTGCTGTCAATTTACGCAGGGCTTTACATATATATTGTACATTCCCATCAATCCCTAACCCTCAAGGGGCGTACAATCTGAGGTCCCTCACGTTCATATACAAGGGCCAATTTAGACAGGATCCAATTAACCTACCAGCATGTCTTTGGAGTGTGGGAGGAAACCAGAGAACCCGGAGGAAACCCACGCAGGCACAGGAAGAACATGCAAACTCCAGGCAGGAGGTGCCATGGCTGGGATTTGAACCAAAGACCCTAGTACTGCCAGGTGGAAGAGCTAACCATTTAGCCACTGTGCTGCCCGGACTTACCGGAGTCCGATCTCCATCCATTGTTTGTTTGGCAGCAGTGGGACTCTAATTGTATCCATAGTGTGATTCAGTCACCTGTGCTTTAATGTCTATTCTGCTTTTGTACACTGCAAAGTAGACATGTCATATTTTTTTTTTTACATTTTGAATTTAGTTTGCGATCTTGTATTTTTTTTTTCTGTTCTACCAGATTCTGACTACGCCAACAAAAGCTTATAACTTAAGGTCACGACTTGTTCCTCGTCTCAGTCCAGATGGCATCCTAGATGATTTGCTGGATACTCCTAAATCTGGGGACTATCTTGAGGACAATATAATCAATGAACCCATCCCTCCAGAGATGAGTGAACAAGCCTATGAAGCTATTGCCGAGGAACTCCGAATGATGCAGGTAAGGCTAAAATATGCTGATGCCAGTTGGTGCATACCATTTCTGGGCTTTTCCATTCTTCACTGATGCAAAGCAAGGTCAGTAACAATGAAGCCTCAACTTAGTCTGCAGCAGGATGCCTTTACTTTTGTATTCCCAGTAGGTTAGTGGTACTCCAGTTCCCTTCAGCATGCACTTTGGTGGTGCAAACTAGTGCTTTTCTCTTGGGTAGCTGTCAGACAATCCCTACGTAAAGAAGAGTTCCGTCACCCCCTCTCAAAAATTAAGTCAGCAGCTACAAATACTGTAGCTGCTGACTTTTAATATTACCTGCCCGGGGATTCAGTTATGTCCTCACCCCGAACTGATTTTTCAATCGACTGTCAGTTTTGGCACTGCCTTCTTGACTAAGGGAAACAGGCAGTGAAGCCGTGCGGCTTCACAGCTGGTTTCCTACTGCGCAGTGAATGTACGAATCATGATGCGCTTTGTGAATAGGGTGCAGTCCTCTGGAACCTGTGAAATGTCCCAGAGGACTGCGGGGGGGAGAGGGGGGCCAATTTCCAGCTCAGTTCGTCACAGCGAAATGGGAGTGGAGTACCTGCTCAAAACCAGGTACCCTACCCCCCTCCCCCCCAGAAAGGTGCCAAATGTGGCAGTGGAGGGGGGAAGGCAGATAAGTGGAGTTTCCACTTTTGGGTAGAACTCCACTTTAACACTAATTTGAAGTGAAACATGAGTCCAGTTTAAAATGCAGTGGGTTTTCCAAAACTACATGTTTTAAAATCAAGTCACAAAATGTTTAAATGTACACATTAAAATAAATATATAGTCCAATTTAGCTTGCTGCATATTCACAACTGAGATAACACAAGGATGCAGGATACAGTATGTGTACTGGGTAATCCTAAAAGCCCGTACTCTAAAGGAACTGTTACCTGTTTGAATATATGTTTCCACTGCCCTGTCTCCTCAAACACTAGGTTAGCTGATCCATGCTGATAACGTTTACCTCCAAGTTGTGCCTTACCCCCTCATCATGTAATGTTAGAATATTTACTGAATGAGCTTACAGGAGAGGCAGAGTTCTACAATGAAGATTTTCTTAGCCAGTTTATAGCTAGGGTATATTAAAAAGTTGGGCATTTTTGGCAATTTGCAAAGAGTGTAAAGATGTCTCCATTAGCCCTTTTTATAAGCTACAAAAGCCAACATTACATGGGAGCAATCAACTTAGAACTACATTAGAGGAAGAGTATACTTTGGTGGGGCTTTTATTTTTATTTTTATTTTTTTTTTACAAATGCATACAGTAAAGCCAGGTTTTAATGCATGTGTTATAAACAGATTATAATTGAGTTTTGAGTCTGACTAGCTGAGTTACATGCTAGGGAATGTTTGTATTAATTGTCGGTTTTAAATAATTCTACAGGAGCAGGTGACAACACTGCAAGCTAAACTTGATGAGGAAGAGAGCAAAAATATGAAGTTACAACAACAGGTTAACAAGATGGAGCATCATTCCACACATATGGAAGAGGTTGGTTCACCATAATATAGTGGGGGGGGGTTTTTTTTTTGGGGGGGGGGGGGGGGGGTTTATTTGTATGTGTTTTTTGTTGTTTTTTTTTTTTCCTTGTTCACATACTGTAGTAGTATCATTTGCAGTGCTTATTTACTGCAAATGATGGCATAGTTACCAAGGCTTTCCAGGAATGTACTCTGAGACATGCATGTGCAATGTTGGCTTTCGGTGTGTGTGTTTAAACCAAAGGACACTCATATTGTACATGGCATTCATAAAATACAGACCACAGTGTGGAGCCTGCAATGTCCCATGGAATGTTTTGTGAATAACACTTTAAAGCACTGGAAGACAGAAAGTCACATGACTTGTTTACATGATAACACCCCCTTCTCATTTAATTTCTTTAAATTTGGCTTTACACACATTTGCTTTATAAATATGCTGGGGCTTTTTTGTTTTTTGTTTTTTTTGTTGTTGTCTGAGTTCCTTAGCTGAGATTTACATTTTGCATTCGTATATTTGTAGTACTCTATTCTAAAATGTTAAATGTAATTTTATAAATCATTTTGAGTAACGTAGAGGTAGTAGGGCCCCCATCCTATTTTTATATTACTATTGTGTACTAGTCAACTGGTCTACAGTTACCAGGACCATGGCGCTTACTACTGAAGTGAATAATCCTGAATATGAGGACTGATCCCCTGAGATATTGTACAATGTACATAGCACCCTTTTTGTTATGCTTCTTGCACAGCAGATTATGTTTTAGAAGCAGTTTGGTTAGCGCAAGTTAATTACACACAAAAAAAATTCTCATCCATTGAGGAGAGAATCAGAGAATGTTGGAAATGACGGCCAGCTCAGGAAAATTCTTCCAGAAAGATGGAGGTCCTTCTAGTTGTACATTAATGGGACACAGTGTGACTATTCAGGTACGTTGGGTTATGCTGCTGCTTTCAGGAGATTGGACAGTGGCAAAACACAGCTTTAAAGATAGCCTAGTAGAACCACTCCCTGCATGGCTCAGTGTTTTGTTTTTTTTTCTTTCTGGTTTCCTAGGAGAATAGGCATCATTTTTTTTCCTCAAAGAAATATTTTTCGTTTCTACAGTTCTATGGACTTCACCTGGACATCTTGCTGCTTCCAAATGATTGCGTCACAGATGGCATTATTTGATAAAGATAGAGCAAGGAAGTGTTTTAGTCTTTTTTTGCCACCTTTGGCCCATTTCAGAGATTTCCCTTCACTTACTGTCCCATAGCTAAAAAGCAAATTTAAGATAATCCCTTGGGGACAACCCAAAATTTGGGATTTTCTGTAATTTCGCTTTCTATGATAATAGTATAGAAGATAAATAGACAGGAAATTTGACATCCCAAAGTCTATTACCATACTTGGAATATGTATTTCATGGAAATTCCATCACAAGAAGCCTTCTTTTGATGAATCCTATCTTTTCTCCATTATCTTCTAGATTAGCATTGGGTCTTAAGTACTGCGAGTACCATCAAGCATCAAATCTCCACTTTAGTTGTTTTTTTTAGATAACACTTACCTCTCAGATTGATTCTCCTTCTCAATTCTTCAAAGACCAGTCTGTGGACCTAACTGGTATATTTCTGTCTATCCTTACTCACAGGGGATCCATTCTTGTTACTAAACAAAGAAAGACGTGTGGAAAGAAACACCAGCGTAAAGCTACCAGATGAGTTATTTACTCATTTAGAAAATGTAAAAAAAGAAATCCTTGCACAGTATCAAATCTTAAACAAAAAAGGTATATCGCAGCACCATGTCTGCTTAGAGCATCTGCCTCCCAGTGGAGGATACTTTACTTTAAGGACCACACCACCAAATGGCTGGGAGGCCCTTTCTAGAACTCTGCTCTTGCTGGGAGGACATTCTCTGTATCCAGTCTTGGCCACAAACTTTATCTCTCAAACTCTAGCTGACTGGCCTAAGGCCAATACAAGGAACCTGACCACTATGGTAGTGGGTCACTTAGTCATAGAGTATTTGTTTTAATCACATGCTTTTGCAGCCTTGTTGAAGGGTTGTTTGAGATCCCCCATCTCATATGCCGTATGAGCCTCCTGCCAAATAACTTGAGGAGGATCATTTAGCGTAAGTGTCGGGCTGCAGAACCTGCATGCCTAAAGAACTTGCTCTGCATTTCCTTTGAAGGACAATGTCTCTTGATGTGACCCAGTTAAAAACAGTAATACATTTGTTATGTATTTTTCTTTTTGGTAACATACCATTGGGAAGTGAGAATCATCTGGATGTTGGAAAAGAGGGAAGCCTTTTCACAAGTTGATATGTGCAAAAGTGGAAGTAATACCTGGTAAAGTAGTTTGTACATGGAGTTCACTGCACGGATAAACACTGGATGTTTTATTAAGCACATGGCATTATTAAAATAATGTGAGCAGAGCACGTATACATTTTGAATGTGGAACCTTTTTGTGATGTACTACACTATATTTCTTGCTTTTATATTTATTTTATTTGGTCCTTTGATACAATGCATGTCAGTCCCTGCTGAACCAGCCAAATTTTGATCAATCTCTGGCCAGCCTTAGATGCTGGGTATAAAATCAATCTGCTCAAGCACTAACCAGGTGAAGTAATTCACACCAGGCTTCATAGAAGAAAAAGAGAAAAAACACTCCAAGTTCAATAGGATTGGGTAAAAGTAATTGCATTTCAGTGCATACTTCACTCCTTCTTCAGAAGTTGGATAATGAATAAAACATGATTTTATATATGATCTAAAGAAAAAAACACTGGAAAACATGACGGCTGTTAGATTAACCACTGATAATTTACCTCCGGTATTCCAGTCTCAATTATAGTGCAAAAGTAATATTCAATGCCCAGATGCTGATCAAACCAGCCGCACATGCTGTCAATAATAACCTGTAGCATGGGTGTCACAAATCAGTTTACATACACACAGGTAGGCTTGTCGGCAAGCAACCTAAAACTGTGGGGAAGGCATAAGATACCAGCAAAAATTGTCACGCTAACTCATACACATGAGTAAACTGCTGACAGATGCATATTACTTGCCCCAAAGGGAAGCAGCTGAGCAGAGGAAACACAAATCCTCTGCTTAAAACCATACCTGAATTTGGAATTGTTTACAGCCTGTCCACACACACACGGACAGGCAACTGTCAGCTAAAAAGATTCATCATATTAGCATTACTTGGCATAAGTACATTAAAGCCTTGCACTGCTGCTCTACTATACATAACAAATATTATGTATAGTGGAGCAGCAAAAAGGGGTTTTTGGACTTTGATCTGCTTACTTTTAAGGAATTTAGAATCAAACCCACCAGGTCTGTTACACTATCCATTCATTAAGGAGACTTTCTGGGCTCTGTGGACATCAAGGATTCTTATCTGCACATGCCCATTTTCTAGCGCATTAGTGATTCCTTCACCCTCTACTATCCTCTGCACCTCCATGTATTCACCAAGATACTTGCCCCTACGCTAGCCTTACTGCTCTCTCAGGGCATTCCCTTTGTGGGATATCAAGATGATTTCCCACCAGAACACCCTGATCTATGCCTTTTTACACCGCTAAAATCCTGCCTCTGTTTCACAAAATTCAAATTGAGGGCATTCCAGTGATCCTCATATGTAGCTGTGGACTGGTCCAGAGAAATGTGGTACTCCAACCTGATAACACTCTTGGCAGATGCTCCATGAGCTTTTTCCACATATTCTGGCTCTTTTGTCTCAGAGACTGATATACCACACTGTTTCACGGTTGCTGGCCTTAACGGAATGGTTTTTGAATCCCAGAGGAACAGAGGCACTTCTGAGTCAGTGATCCCACAATGCTAAAAGCTAAGAAGTCTTCTTCCTGCAAGGCCCCTCACTGCACCTGTAAGGCATATTTCACTTGATGTGAGTGGAGAAACTTTTCCCAGTATTTTTGCAGATGAGTCTTGATCAGCATCTGGCCCTTAGCACCCTTCAGAGCCAGGTTTCTGGGCTTGCTCTTTCTCCCAGAGGTCACTAGATTCCCATTTCTTTGAACAAGACCTTTGTGCAGGGTGGCTTCCCCTGTTAACGCCCCTGTGACTCCGCGTGACCTGAAATTTGTTCTCTTGGCACTTTAGTTCAAAAGGGATTTTTTTTTTTTAGTAATCGGATATTCCCTGACTGACTCTGTGACCCATGATGCCCAAAGAAGGAGCCAGCTTCTTTGAGGCTCAGACATAGCATCATGGCTTGTTGTCTAGGGATTGGGTGTACCCCTTTCTTGTCCAGGTGCATTCTACTAGGTCTGAATGTTTCTTGGGTTTTTTGGCATCGGCTCTCCTAGAACTGCAAGGCTGCCACCTGGACTTCTGCTAACACGTTCTTCAAATTTTACCAGGTGGATGTTCTGGACTCATCTGATACCAGCTTCTGGTGGTATAATGTCTTTTAGGAGATTCTTTGAGCTGCAGGTAGTCCCCATTTCTGTTGTTTTTATGTGGGTTTATTAGTATTTGGTTTGCTTTTGCTCACCCTCCAGATAACATTCTAACATTCTGAATTCCAGTGTCCCTCTTTGGATGAGAAAGAAAATGGTGATTTGTGCACTCTATTCTTTGTATGCTCTTGGTTCTGCTTTCCCACAAAACAGGCATGCTTTGAGGAGGAAATGGTTTCCTAAGTTGGCCCTTTTCATATGGGTGTCCAGTCCTCCTGTAGGCAGCAGTATAACGTGACAGTCTCTGAAATTACCATGTTCCTCAATGGACTTCAAGAAAGCGATTTTATAGGTAGTACAAAAATCCTATGAGATGACAGACTTTTGCACTTGTTGTCCATTATCTGCCAACAAACCTGATCTTGTATTATACAGCTTTTTTCATCAGAAAGGGCAAGTTGGAACAACAGGCATCAAGAACTTCTTGCACAGATTAATGTTTTTGAAAAAACAGCAGCAAGACTTTAAAAGCAGAGAAGATGGTAAGCAATACTGGAGGGTGGTCTTTAATGTGTCCCAATTAATAATTATAGCATGTAAAATGTGGATGAGCAAATAATGCAGTAAGTTATTAATGTCAAGCCCTGTATGCTAACGATGCTATAACCTATATCACAGCAGGTGGCACAGCAGGTGAAATCTAATTGTGTTCTCATTAAAAGTAAGGACACATGGACTGTGTTTGTTGTGCAGATAATTTTTTGCCTCATTAAGTGCTTGTGTACACTTGGGTCTCTTCATGAAGAGTGGTCCCCAGTGGATTGCTTTTCACAGAGCAGTGCAGGAATTTAGGAGGAGAAACTGGCACCTCCTGAATACTTGTATTTTTTTGTTTAACAACTGGGCTGTTTTAATGGGAATGGCACAACTGTGTTGCTCCAATGCATTCCAACATGTGTACTGCCCATCTGGCTGCCAAAGGGGACAATAAAAACATTTCTCAACCACTTCTGTATTTACACACAGACTTAAATGTAAGTGTAAATTAACTTGCATCCATTACATTCACCCGCCCTTAGATATACATAATGATTCAGTCTGGATCCTTCTGGAAAAACTGATAGACAATCCAGACTGACTTCCTCTTGGAAAGGGCCCTTTGTGGGAGACTAAGGGCTTGCTTCCATGTGCAGCCAGGGGCAATTTAAAGTAGGTAGTTGAGCTGTGGTTTAACCACCCACTCACCCAATGAAGAGTATGCAGCTGCTCAGGATTGTACACATGCCACAGCGGTGATGCTCTTGTTTTGCAAGCACTTTCAAAATTAAAAGGGATGTTACATTCAGTAGGCAGTATTACCTTCAAACACAATCCATTTAAGAGGCCATGTTGCAACAGCCTTGCAACCACATGTAATGCATGAAGGTATGGAATTTACAGGGTTAAAACAATCAGCCAAGAGGTGACATTGTCTCCTCCCTCAACTGTCAAATACCTCTGAAAAACAATTCACAACCGCAAAGGGGTGGCAAGGGCTACCACATGAATGAAGGAGTTCTAAATCTAGAAATGCTTTCAGCAGAGTTTATAAGTGTGTTTCATGTTAATAAACATGTTTTTTTTTTTTTTTTTTTTTCTGTGTTGTCACTAGAATAAGGTTTCTTATTGGAAGATTTTCCTTCTGTTAAATATTTGGATTATTCTTTGATTACTGTCCTGGTGACAGTGGCCACTAGGACACCAAGGGTGATTCTCATCATCTAACCCTTTCTCAATACAAAATTTAAATAATGCTTTGTATTTAGATGCATGTTGACACAAATACACTTTAAGGATCAGTGGGTAAACTATTATTTAACTAAGGGATTTTACTGATTCTTGTAACAAATTCTGCTAAGTAACATTAAAAAAGTGCAAACAGGTGGTGCAAACACCTAGCGCATTATTCAATGTTTATTAAAAAGTCTAAAAGATGAAAACATACTCACAGACATAGCATGTTTGTAAAGCTTAGTATGGAAATTGAGATGGCCACAACAGTGGGCAGGGTGTTCCGACTGTCAGTGTGGCACGTTTCAGGGTCGAGTCCCTTTCCTCAGAGATCAGCGATTAGCTCTGAGGAAAGAGACTTGTCCCCGAAACGCGTCAGTGTTGACCACACTGACAGTTGGAACACCCTGCCCACTGTTGTGGCCATCTCAATTTCCATACTAAGCTTTACAAACATGCTATGTCTGTGAGTATGTTTTCGCCTTTTTTTACTTTTTACTAAATAATATAATGCACTAGGTGTTTGCGCCACCTGTTTACTCTTTTTCCAATTGTTGATTTCCCTGTCTGAGGAGGGCTGCATCCCCAAAACGCTATCCATAGGCCACCTTTTGCCCAGGTTCCCCTGGCTTTCCTTTGGCAATTGATTCCTGGAGCGCTGGAGAGTACAACCTGTCATGCCAAGTAACAATGGATATTATTTTTAATCCTAGTGTTTACCTCATAATGTTATGTATAGTATTTGTGAAGGCTGGATTTCTGTTTGTAGTTCTGAAAAGCGAGGTCCACGATCTACGTGTAGTACTTCAGTCTGCAGACCGCGAGCTTCGGGCTGTGAAGATGGAGTATAGTTCATACAAAGAAAAACAAGAAAAGGAGATGAGTGAACTGTCTGACCGCCACATAAATGTGCAGCTGCAATTGGACAATGTCAGGTATTACATGATTGGAGTGGGTACAAGCCAATAGTTGCAGTGGAAGACATTCTGATGTTTTCATTTGCATTTTTTTTAAATAACTTTAGCAATAATTTGCCCCTCTAGCCATTTTGGTTTTCTATGCCTGTAGAGCAAAGTGCAACTTAGCTGTAGTGTTTACAAAGCAAAACATGTTGAATATGCTGGGGAACTGCATCTCAAACCTTTGGTAGCAGAGGGCGCATACTATTAATTCTCTCCAGAAATGCTTTCTCTGTGCTTCATTTCTCGACTTGGAGCATAAACCCCACCCACCACGGCCCTGTTACATGTGGCTGAGGCTCCAGCTGGGGGGCGGAACAATCTCAGAGGCATAGCAGAGGCCTTTTCTGGCAGGTGTATTACACAAGCGCCTGCTCCTAACCTGTTAGAGCACAGATTGTTCTTGTATCTTAGGTCTTAAATGAACTCACAAAAAGACTTGACCCAATGAGCCACTGCTAAAGTATAGCAGTATTGGTTAGAAATGCAGGAATTTTGGAGTTGACTGTTTATATGACCATGATAGGTCTGTGTAGGTTCTCTTTATCCAAGCCATATAGCTAGTAGTAGTTGGTCACATTTTACTGAATGTTTCTTAATCATACAGTATAGGACACAGGCTCCCTTAAATTTTGAGCATGGGTTGTATGCTGCCACATTAAGGTGAGAACAGTGGTAAACCGTTGTTGGGACAGCCTAAATAACCCCTCCCACTCCCAGCAGTCATCAGGTTTTTGTTAATGTCGTTAGGTGATGAACAACCTCTTTCTACCGAGAGCAGGTTTCTGTTTTAGGATTCTGTTTCTACTGGAAGACTAAAAACTATGCTTGGTTCTTCATATGAATATATCTCTTCTCCACCTGACTGCATAAGCACCACTGTAGCAATATGACTGCAGCTTCTGTAATTTTGCCTTCAGCACTGGACTCTGCCTGTGGCCCTTTCCCTTGATAACGCAGTGCAAACCTGTGTAGTTAGCTGCAGAGTGCTCTACAGGTTCAGGGAAGCAGAAATTCGAATCCTGGCTAGTCCCAGTCCCTAAAGACACCTCCATGGAGGAAAGTGTATGCCTTCCTGGAGTGAGGAGTTCTGCCTTAAAAAGTTGCCTGTACCAAAAGTTACCATTGCTCCCATTACTGTCAATCACTGCCAGTAAGCCAATGAGGAGAGAGTCGCATTCTGTGTATGAATGGACACTGGCTTGGGATGGAGGGGCCTGGAGAGCCGGTGGAGGACCCGAGAAGAGGAGGATCAGGGCTGCTCTGTGCAAAACCACTGCAGAGAGCAGGTAAGTATGACATGTTTGTTGTTTTTTTTAAAAAAAAAAAAAGAACAAACAACTTTTTAATATCACTTTAGGTTGATGGCTAAGAAGACATTAATGGGGCCTGTGTCCTATACTGTACTCTAAGAAAAGTATTTTACACGATTTCTTTAGTTCAGTGAGTGTCAGGAACATGGCCCCCATCATTTTATAGCCACACCACTGGCTAAATCCAATCTTCATGTCAAATGATCAAAAAAATGTATACACCCTCACACTTTCTTGGAAAATCAATATCTGCCTTGGCACATTGAATGGCGGCTGGAATACCCATGTGGCTATAGATGCAGAGGTATGTTCAGAATTTCAGAGAGAGCTTGTCACTTGGATAAGTGTGAGCATAACTACCCATGAATATTACCAAAACCTCATAACATTATGGTATACTGAAATTAACATACTCGTATTTGTTTGGTTTTTTTATACATTTTTAGGGGGTCATAATGCTCTCTGATAGGTAAAGATGTAGTATAATTATGTAGAGAGTGGTTTTGGAAACTGTTTTAAATGGATCTTAAACTACATTGTGTAAATATGTCTGTTAAATGGTCAGAATCTGAGATATGGACCGACAAGCCATGTTTTACTTCTGTTTAATAAATTAGGTTGGAGCATGAAAGTTTGTTGGAGGAGAAGCGATCTCTTCAAGATAGTTATGATAACTTGGAAGAAGTTATGAAGTTTGAATCCGATCAACTAAAACAAGAGCTTTCTGACAGCAAACGTGAGAATGAAACCGTGAAAGCTGAACTTTGTGTAAGATCTGTGATGTTCTTTTTTGTTTTTCCTTTAACGGTCCCTAAGGCTGAGAAGTCCAAAGCTGTGATAATGAAATGGTCAGCCCATTCCAACACTTCAAAACACACACACATGTTTTAGGCATTTTTTTTTTCCCCCAGGTTTGTTATTTTCTCAATCACAGCAAACTTTTTAATTGACCTACATGTTCTGCCATTTCTTTTATTTAAGATGGACATGCGTACTGTATTATGTGACAGAAGCAAAGTATATTGGGCATAAAATTTGATTAAAGGGTTAGCCCACGCAAAATAGATTTTATTTAGATTGGCAGGATTCTTGCACTTGAAATCCCAGGCCCCCAAACACTCCCCCCAAATGACCCTTTTTTGGAAATTAGGCACTCCAAAGAATTTGATAAGAAGTATGGTGGTGTGTATTCTGCAGATCTAATTTTATATCACAAGGTTTTGAAAAATGGAAACAGAAAATAAATAATTTTTTTGTTTTCTGTCTTCATTTTCCAAAAAAATTGGTGCAGCAAATGAGATCTGCAAAATGCTTGTCATGCCTTGTAGCAAATAATTGGCAAGTCTACTTTCCATAAAGGGGCCATTTGGGGGGTGATTGTTCTGTCGTGGCTATTTTAGCCTCCGAAACTGCAATAGGCAGTTAGGAAAACAAATGCGCAAGTTACGCCCTCTGAAATGCAGAAGGTGCTTATTGCATTTTGGGCTTCGGTACGCTGCTAGGCCAAAAAGGAGAAGTAGCAGAATGTTGGGTTGTGTTTTTTTTTTTGGGGGGTTGGGGGCTGTAATGCCATGTAAACCTATGACGTGTGTGTGAGAAATATCTTAGTAAAGTGACAACTTTGTGTAAAAAATAAATAAAATTTATTTTTTTCCCCAAAAACTTGTGGCAAAAAATAAGATCTTCAAAAGACTCAACATGCCTCTTATCAAATACCTTTGAGTGTCAGCTGTCCAAAAAGGGGTAATTTGGGGGGTGTTTGAACTGTCCTGGTATTCTTTAAAAACATTATGTGTATAGCCAGCATTAGGAGTTTCTGCCACATTCCTAATGATGAGCATATATATAATAATCTTTTTTCTTTCGTTTATCCTATGGGCTGAATGAGAAAAAGAGCCTAACCGATTCCTTCATTCACATTTATCAATGTGGATGCAGAAATCTCTGCCTGAAAAAAAGTATATGCCAAGCATAGGAGCTTCCATTACCTGACCCACCTCATGATCCAAATCATTGGCTTTGAGCGTGCTGACAAACTAGTGTTGTGTCCAACCACGGCACGAACATCACCAGTAAACCCTTAAATTCCCCTGCAATGTACAGGTACGTTGCAGAGGAACAACAGAACCACCGGCCAGCAATAAAAGTTCAACTGCTGGTCGACAGGTGGTTCAAGCTGGTCACACAGACATCATCAGAAAAGCAAGATCTTCCAGACCTGCATTTTTATGGCTTTCGAGAGTGGGTGGGAAAAAACTTAGTTTATATGAAGGAAAACTATTGCGACTAGTGAGAATATAATTTTTATAAAACTGCTCCATCCACCCATTGATATTTTTTTTTTTTTTTAATCCTCTCATGCCTAAGTCTGTTTTCTGTGAAATGGCAAACCTGAAATAGAACAAACATTTTAGTTAAAAGAATGTTTATTCACTTATCTGCAGAATCTTTTGGAGCTTTTGGAGACTGAAAAAGAACACCGACAAAACTTGAAATCTCAACTGGAAGAAGACAAAGAAAACAAGTCTAAGTAAATAAGCAAAATCACATTATAATTAAAGCACACTTACAGTTGTCCAGCCACAACCAGTGCCTCCATGCAGAGGCTACTACTATAAATTGTCTACTTTAAACTGGATGCTGCTGGAAAAATTCTGCTGTGTGGCTCACCACCTTCTGCTTTTCTTGCCTCCTTATTGGCCCCCATCCCACTCTAAAGGCAATAGAGGGGCAAGAAAAGCAGAGCTGGACAGACAACAGTGACAGGAAGAGATTTTATTCTCTCTTAAATTAAGCACCCAGTGTTAGGTTAAGCTGGGTACTTTTACAAAAAAGACAACCACCACCTTTGTAATGGGTCAGGCACTTTCATCTTTCTGTAACCATTGTCTCTTTTTATAATGGTATTCTTTTTTTTTTTTTTTTTTTTTTATATATATAGAGAGCTCCTGAAAGTTTTGGAAGAGAATGTGATCCTCAAAAAACAGTGCTCTGAGCTGACAACAAAGTGTGAGCTGCAGGTACAGCAGTTATTTGCATGGATTCTTTAGTAGGGTCTGTGTCTTTTTAAGTTCATGCTGGCTGAAAAGCTAGGGAAGTGCTGGAAGGTAAAATGTGTACCCATTGCTGTTGTGCAAAAAACAAATCTCAGAAAAATAAAACCATGCTATGCATTTCATAATTTTTTCTTACTGTTGCTTTTACACGCAGTGTAGTTATCTATGTAGAACAATAGGTACAGCTGCTGCATTTTTCCCTCTGGCATTTTTTCAAAAGCATCCTTAAGTAAAGACCATCTGTGTGATTAGGCTCTAGGAGTGGAAATGTTTAATTTGTTACTAGTAATGTAAAAAAAAATTGTGATAGTTTTACTCTAAAGTGATCCTTTCCTTTTGTAAATGAGTTGCTTAACTCCCCATCTCGATTTTCATCAATCTTCATCATTCACACAACTATTCACCCCCCCCGAACCAAAGAATAAAAGCCCTGTATAAGGTTCCTGTTGATTTGGCAGAGCCTACACAGATTTATCGATCATTGCCCCCATGTGACATCCCAGACCAGCAGGAGACACTACCACTGGCCTAGGGTAATGGGAATAAGTTGCATGCTCAGACCATGATGTGATGCGTATTTCACTTCACCCCTGAAAGTTTTTACACTGTCCGGCAAAGTGTTGCTTTAACCACTTCAAGTCTGGACACTTTCATCCCCTTCCTGTCCAGGCCAATTTTCAGCTTTCAGTACTATCACACTTTGACAATTGCGCGGTCATGCAACAGTGTACCCATATGAAATTTTTAGCTTTTTTTTTTAGACAGATAAAAGTTTATTTTGGTGGTGTTTATTCACCACTGGGATTTTTTTTTTTTTTGCTATATAAATGAAAGTCCAAAAAATTTCTTATAAAATTTTGCAAATAATCTTCATAAATTTTGGCCAAAATGTATTCAGTTATCTTTTTAGTAAAAAAAAAAACCCACATTAGTTTATAACCAAAAATTATAATTTTTCTAAAAAAATTTTTAATTTTTATATTTTTTTTAATATTTGTTTTTTGTTTTTTTTTAACCACTAGCCTACAGGGCACTTATACCCCCTTCCTGCCGAGGCCAATTTCCAGATTTCAGTGCTGTCACACTTTGAATGACAATTGCGCAGTCATGCAACACTGTACCCATATGAAATTTTTATAATTGTTTTTGTGACAGAGCTTTCTTTTGGTGGTATTTAATCACCTCTGGGTTTTTATTTTTTCTTAAACCAAAAACCACTGAAAATTTTGGGAAAAAAAAATTTTTTCTTAGTTTTTGTTATAAAATTTTGTAAATAAGTGATTTTTCTCCTTCACTGATGTGCGCTAATGAGACTGCAGTGATGGGCACTGATAGGTGGCACTGATGAGCCACTGGTAGGTGGCACTGATGGGCATTGACAGGCATCACTGATGGGCATTGACAGGCATCACTGATGGGCATTGACAGGCATCACTGATGGGCACTGAAAGGCGGCACTGATATCTGGCACTGATAGGTGGCACTGATGCACACTGATAGGCGGCACTGGCTGGCACTAATTGGCAGCACTGATAGGTGGCACTGATTGGCATTGATAGGTGGCACTGACTGGCACTGATTGATGACACTGAAAGGCAGCTCAATTGGGCACTGATATGTGGCATTGATGTGCACTGGTATGCGCTGATATGTGACATTGATGTGACACTGATAGGCACTGGCACGTAGTACTGATCCGCACTGACAGCTGGCACTGGTGGACTTTGACAGGTGGCCCTGCTGGGGCTACACTGATGATCAGGGCACATTGATCATCAGTGCCCTGATGATTAGTGTACATGTCCCCTCCGGTGGGGGAGATTACCGGCTCTCCTCTCTAACTGCATTCTTGCAGCCATTGAGAATACTGTGAGAGCTGTGATTGGTCACAGCTTGTCACATGGTACAAGGCTGTTGTGAATAGCCTTGTACCATGTGACCTCTGTGATCATTCACAGATTCTACACATACTAAGCAATGATGTCAGAAGTGACATCTTGCTTACTACTATTCATGTGATCACTGATTGGCCAATCAGTGATCACATGAATCGGGACCTCACACAGGTATGTATGTGTAGCCGCAGTGCTTATGCCAAGGTGCCTCTGTGTACTGCAATCCTAATTCTCTAGTTTTCAGAGAATCCTAAAATGGAGCACATATAATAATGGATAGATTAAGGGCAGGTTTGCCTGGAAGGAGCCCACCCCTCATTAAAGGCACAGGGATGCCCAGCAAAAGCACAATGGCAGCTGAAGGCTTTCATTGCGTTCCCACATCCAATTCAATCAACTGTACAATAATGTGGCAACCACCCCAACCTATAACCTGTAAGGTGCACATGGAAGACCAACGCACATCTCTAACAAACACAAATTTCCCAGCACTTGCCAGCCTGCACACAAAAAAAAAAACCCAGAGAATGAAGTAAGGTTAAAAAAAAAAACCAAAACTTAAAACTTTAGAACCACATTAAACATGATGGGCATCCAATATTGTGCTTTTGATATTATGTACTGTACAGGGATGCACAGTTTTTATTGCATGACACCTGGGACAGCGGGTACCAGGCAGGTAGTTTTTGTTTTGCATTTAGCTGTGCTGTGGGCATACAGCAGGGTTTGTCAGGTGGAAGCATTTTGGCGGCTCCGCTGCCACCTGATTGCTTCCACATACATGCTGAGAAAGTTTTTCCCTATAGAAAGTGCTTTGCCTATGGAAAATATAGGGTACTGTAGTTTTTTGCCATTTCATGGATGCATGCAGATTTAAGGTTTGACATATTTACTCGGTGAAGTCTCCGCTTTTATATTTTGCAAAACAATTGTAGTTCTCACGGAACTACCACGGTACTGTTGAGCGCTCTGGTAGTTCATTGATACTTCCTGCATTTACACCCATGATCTGCTGATCGCTGGTGCAATGCTTTCCAGGCTCCAAAAAAAAAAAAAAAGTAAATGCAGTTTTGTTTTTTTTTTTCTTTACATGCTAAAAAGGTTTTTTTTTTTATAGGTGAACTTCTCCTTTAAAGGAGCGGACACCGAAGGTTAATTTGGCTGTTCAGCATGCGCTTGTACCAAGCACCAAAGTGCTTCTGTGTGCGAGGGTAACCTGAGGGAATAAAGTTATGGGTTTTTTTTCTTTTTTTTTTTTTTTTTCCTCATTGGGGCCGGTGCCTCAATGAGCCGCCATTTACTCGCTCAACAGACGTGCTTCTGCTGAGCGTTAAAAGAGCCCAGTTGGTGCTCATTACACTGCAAGATCTCTCCCCTCCCTGCTAGTCCCCTTGGTAGGGTGCTGGAGCCAGGCAGGGAGGTGAGGAGGAGATAAACAACACATGTTACAAATATTAAAAGTTTAAGTCGCCATAAACCTCCTTTTTGTTTTCAAAAGCCCCAGACATTCCTAAAAGCACCTCAGTTTTAAGCAGTTAAAAAAAAATTATCTGTATTTTTATCGGGACAAGTAAATTGTCTTGAGGGACAAGTAGATTGGGGCCCCAATTTAGTCCTTTTGGACAAGTAGTTTTTTTAAAAAAATTTCCACACCCCTTCTCTAGATGATGTTATATTTAAAGTCTTTGCAATTTTACATTAAATAATATTATTCTGAAATTGATCAACAATTTTTAGACTCCGCTTTTCACAGAATGGTGAACCTCTACCTATCTTTACTTCTGAGACGTTGACTCTCTAAGATGCTCTTTTTATAGCCAATCATGTTACCTGTTGCCAATTAACCTAATTAGTTGCAAAATGTTCTTCCGGCTCTTTCTCTTACTTTACCAGCTTTTTGTTGCCATGCCCCAACTTTTTTGAGATGTGTTGCTGTCAGCAATTTCAAAATTACCTTATTTTGTTTCTTAACATGGGTTTGAGATTTGCAAATTATTGCATTCTGTTTTTACCTTTCTGATGTATACAGTTGCATTGTTTACTAGATAGCATACAGTTATCATATGCGTTTTGCTGATAGTCTTCTTTTAATTGAATGTGTCTGCCTTGTATCTGTGTGGGGTTTAGAAAATGCCTGATAATGCAATGCTGCTTATATTCTAATCCCATTTAGATCACACAGCTACAAACTTGTGAACTCCAATTAACTACCTCAAAAGAAATCATAACCAATCTTGAGAAAAAATGTTCTTCAGATAAGGTAGGAGCTCCATTTGTGTCAATGATGCCACCAAACTTCTAGTAATAGATTGACCTGTTTTGCCTTTCCACAAATCCAGGCCATGTTAGTAGGCAAAGGGTAAAATTTGCAAGGGGGCTGAAGGGGGGTATTTTCACATGTTTTCCTTCTTCAGTATATGTGCCTCACATTTATTTTAAACTGGAAATTTGGAACTTTACCAGGAAATGTTGAAAAAAAACTTTTTTTCTTTGTAAAGATAAAAATCCACTAGCAAGGATGAAATCTAGGCATCTAGAGGTTTCTGCAGATTGCTGTAGATTTTTATGGCTTTCTGAATACCATAAGAGCACTGAGACCAGGGATCTCAGATATACACTAAGTTACATAGTTAGTCTGCCTGAAAAAAGACAGTCCATCCAGTTCAACCATATAAGAAAAAAAAAAGTTATAATCCTACACCAATAGTAGTTGGAAGGCAAAAAAACCCCAACAAAGCATGATCCAATTTGCTCCTGCAATGGAAAAAATTCCTTCCTGATCCCTCAAAAGGCAATCGGATATTCGCTGGATCAACTTTACCAACTTTATCAATGTTATTATCCAGTTATATTCTGTGTATCCAAGAAAGATTCCAGGCCTTTTTTAAAGCAATCCACTGAGCTGGCCAGAACCAACTCTTGAGGGAGTCTATTCCACATTTTCAAAACTTTTACTGTGAAGAAACCTTTCCGTGTTTGGAGATTAAATTTATTTTCTTCCAGACGTAAATAGTGCCCCCTTGTCCTCTGTGATGACCTCAGGGT